TAAAAGTATTTTAGGATCTACAGATGAAATATGCTATGGAAGTGCAAAGTATTATTAATGCCATCAGTAGATATCTCCTCCTCTTTTGCCATCTCCAGCAGTGGCCTAATAGATGAGACTCACACTCCCACCTTTAACAACTTCAGCCTTCTAAGTGTTTTCTCCCTGTATTGATCTTTGATAATGTGCTACTGATGCACACACCTTTTATGGTGTATTGTTTGCATGTTTGTGAGCACTTCCCCCTAACACATCAACCTCCTCTCTGTGTAGACCAGCTCAAAGTATCCATCTTCTGCTTCTGTACATCTCTCTGCTAGCTATAAAAAAAGAAAATCTCTTCAGAACTCATTGTATAAGAATTCTCTTTGGGAGACAAAGTGAAGATGTAATGCTTTTTACCATGACTAATTAGTATTTCTTCGCCCTGTACCTAAATATCTTCTTGTAAACATTTACATAACATAACAATAAGAGTTTACACATCTATACATCATTGCATCCCAAAGGATCTTAGAATGCAACAAATTATTACAAGTATTTAAAATATAAGAAAGTGAGGTTCATATAATATATTCCACACAGCATGTTGGATCTTACCTAGATAACAACCCACTGAAAAAAAATCTCTTCACACACACACACACACACAAAGAGAGAGAGAGAGTGCTCTCTTGTAGAGACTTTCTTGCTGTTAATCTAAAGTAAAAGTCATTCACTTATTTGAGACTGTATTGGACTTATTGAGAGATGGTATGTCGGTCCCCAATGTGGTGCGTAAATATGGCTGCAAAAAATTGAGCATCCGTGCCATCAAGGGGATCGTATTCAGAAATTAAATCATTCAAGTGTTTCACAGCTTGGAATAGTTCAGCAAAATTTATGAAGATTCCAACTTGCTGGCTCTTCCTGTTCGTCGTCATCATCTTCCTCTTCTGTAGGCGATTTTATCACTTCCTCTAACTCTTTGTTAGTCAATGTTTCTCTATGGCTCTCAGTTAATTCTTCAATTTCTTCCTCAAGGATGTCAATGAAGCCATCACCACCCACTTGCCTGGCCACCTGAACAATGCATTTCACTTCTTTGTCAATGATCGGGAAACCCTTGAAATCATTCACACATTTTTTCCATAGGTTTCGCCAAGATGCATTGACTGTTTCAGGCTTGATTGCATCCATTGCCTGTTTAATATAAGTGATGCAATCGGCAATGTTGAAGGACTTCCAACACTCCATCACATTAAGATTGGGATCAGCATCCATAGCGCTACGTATCTGTGAGAACGTAAGCCTCGTGTATGTGGCCTTGAAAAAGCAAACCACGCCTTGGTCGAGAGGTTGGAGGATGGAGGTGGTATTGCGGGGGGAGAAAGACGACTTCAATGTTGTTATGCGCAAACCGGAGTGCCACAGGGTGGCCAGGAGCATTGCCTACGATCAGCAACGCTTTAAAGTCAAGTCCTTTCTCTTCGAGGTACCGCTTGACCTCCGGAATGAAACACTTGTGGAACCAATCCAGAAATAATGCTGCCCTCACCCAAGCCTTTTTATTTGATTGCCAGAACACAGGAAGGAGATTTTTGTTCTTGCCTTTTAGGGCACGGGGATTTGCAGCCCTGTAGACCACGCCCGGCTTTATTAAATGCCCAGCTGCATTGCCATAAAACAACACAATCACACGGTCCCTAGCTGCTTTGAAGCCAGGGGTTTGTCTTTCTGATTTTGAAGTGTAAGTGCGGTGGGGTATTTTTTCCTGGAAGAGCACAGTCTCGTCAGCATTAAAAACTTGTTCGGGAAGATAGCCCTTTTCTTCTATGATTTTCTTTAATTGTTCGGGGTAGGCTTTTGCTGCCTCTTCATTGGCAGATGCAGCTTCACCAGTAGTCTGCACGTTTTTGAGGTTGAAGCGGTTCCTAAAACTGTTAAGCCAACCTTGGCTGGCTTTGAATTCCTTCTCATCAGAAGGCTGTCCCTCTTCAGCGGGAGGTTTGAACAGCACGTAGAGGCTAAGAGCCTTTTCTTGCAACGTGTTGCCATCAATAGGCACATGTTTACAGTTCGTCTTCCAGCCATAAGTTTAATGCCTTTTCAGTCTTCACTAAAGTCTTATCATGCACCTGGCTCGTCACCTTAGCAGTTATTGGAGCACTTGATGCCACGGCTTGACGAATTTCTCTCTCTCGAATCTTGAGGGCATGGATGCTACATTCGTTGGGGCCATATTTACATGCCACGTTGGAGACTGACATACTGTCTCTCAATAAGTCCAACACAGCCAGTTTTTCCTCCAGCTTTGGAACAGGTCGCTGTTTCTTCGGTTGAGCACCAGATGAAGTAGTTGGTTTGTGTTTAGGGGCCATGTTGTATGAAAAATACGTACAGTATCTTTAAACACTAGAATTACACTAAGCGCGGCGAGATGCTCACACTTTGAGAGTCATGCAGGAACTGAGACCGACTGAGGGAACAGCAGATTCATGTCTCCTATCTCACGCTCACTCCGGGGCATAAGCTCACTGAGTGGGATGGTGGGTGGAATCGCCTGTGCTATTTACAGGTATCTTGTTATTTTTCTTTTTTTTTGCCGAGCAAGTATAGTTGAATTCGCGTAAGTTAAATGCGTGTATGATGCAACTCACCTGTATACCCATGTCTGTTGTTGGTGGAATGTGTCAAACTCTCTCTACCGTTTGTTATTGTCACAGATTGTCACGGAGTCCCCAGGCGATGCTCTGGAACTGCTCCCTATGAAGCCAGTCAGGACTCTGGGGAAGTCTCCTTTCTGTGAGCAGACTGTCTTCAGGACACACAGCTCACACCGCTTCCACCTTCCTGGGTCTGACCTCGGAGCATTCAGCATCCTCTGCCCCTCCATGCGCTTCCCACAGCAAGTCTGCCCAGGCGGGGTCTTGGGGAAGCCAGAGGGTCCTGCACCCCAACTTCGCAGTCAGATGGGACTCTCAGCCAGCCAGTAAAACAGAAGGCTTATTAGACGACAGGAACTTGGTCTACAACAGAGCTTGTAGATGCAGAGAACAGGACCCCTCAGCTGGGTCCATTTTGGGGGGCAGTGAGCCAGATAACCCCGTCTGCACTTCACTCCATGTCCCCAGCCAGCCCCAAACTGAAACTCTCTCCAGCGCCCCCTCCTCTGGGCTTTTTCCCTTTCTGGGCCAGGAGGTCACCTGATTCCTTTGTTCTCCAACCCTTTAGCTCTCACCTTGCAGGGGGGAAGGGCCAGGCCATCTGTTGCCAGGAAACAGGGTGTTGGCCATTCTCTGTGTCCAGACCCCTGCACACACCTGCCCTCTAGGGCTCTGCAATGATCATGCACCCTTATCCCACCACCTAGATACTTAAGAACTGCATAGGGGAAACTGAGGCACCCCCACAATATTCAGAGGAAACATTAAGAACAGTCCCGCTTCGTCACACAGATTATTCCAATAAGTGAGACCATGTGAAGAGTGATATAGTTCTATATTTGTCAGTGTTAGAGATGGCAACTGTAGCTGTTAGCAGTTCATCCCTCATGCTTTTTTAGAATATATTTTTGTGTGGGTTTAGCGCTGGCAAAAGGTTAGTTCAGCAGTCCTGGAGACTGAAGTTTTCTGTCCACAGGAGAGATCAGTTGTGCAAGCCTTTCCCCCGCAAGTACACTGCCCACCAACAACGTGCCTCATCCCTGACTGCATGAACCACTTCAAGAGATAAAAAGGTCATTGAATCACTTTGCCCTTTCAATACTTGGCCTTCCTGCTGAGACTGATAATAAGAGTGCCAGCTGTGGTTTTAATTATCTAGACACTTGTCCTCTAAGAACTAGAATGAGAGCCACCAATGATCAGCTGGAAATATCTTTTGGTCACTGCTGACCTGATCTAGTTTCAAACAGGGGATTTAGACCTGAAAAACCCTAGGGCTCCTTACTACCCAGTCTCTCATGGATCCTTCATGCTGGCTGAAAGAGGTTCCTGGACTAGAAGCTTTTCTAAAAGCTGACATCCTTAGGCCAGAACTGAAAAATTGATGTAAAAAAATCGTAAACTTAGTCAGGCTGAGATTTTACAGACAACTTCTCTACAGTTATTGCAATAGCCCAGAGCAATGGAAACTATGTGGTTTAAGCCTCTGTCCCTCCATCCGATTTATGGTAGTGTTCATAATAGCCACAAAGTGGGCATTCCCATCCCCTTCAAACTGTATGACTATCTGTTTAGTCCATACACCCAAGTGTACCCTACACATATCGATTCATATTTAACACATATTAGAAGGACAAAAAAGCTTTATTTTTGTAGTTAATGACCGCCCCCCTAAGTCATGTGGTGAGTGGGACAAAAGTTGTAAACACATAATAATAATGTGATGTATTTATTACTTTTGATTAGTTATTGTAAGAGGGAACAAAATTAAAGGATAGATTTGCAGTGGAGAGTAGGCCCTGCACAAACAAGCTCAGGACAGTTAGGTGTTGATGTTACACTCCCAGGACAGGAACATTTTTAAGTTTTATTGGAGTAAATAAAACTGGAGTATTATTAAACTTAGTATCAAAACAAACAAACACAGCTTGCACAAGGCCCATTGCTGCTCAGTTCTTCCAGAGCATACACAGCTTTTCTTCTTCAACCCCCTCAGCAGACCTTCAATCCTTAAAGGGACAGGACACAGATAAATTTAACCCTGACATTCCCTTTTGAGTGCTACTCTCCCCCTTCATACCTGTAATGTTAGCCCAACATTCCTATTTACAAAATATAACATACAGCCCATTCATTTAACTTATTAGTAGTAGTCCATGAATTCCACAGGCTCATCATAGTATGCAGTGTTGAGGCAGGGTGACCAGACAGCAATTGTGAAAAATCGGGACGGGGGGGAGAGGGGGGTAATAGGAGCCTATATAAGAAAAAGACCCCAAAATTGGGACTGTCCGTATAAAATTGGGACATCTGGTCACTCTAGCAGTGTTGATATAGCCATGTTGGTCCCAGGATATTAGAGAGATAAGGTAGGTGGGTAATATCTTTTATTGGACCAACTTCTGTTGGTGAGAGAGAGAAGCTTTTGAGCTTTCACACAGAAGAAGAGCTTTGTGTAAGCTCATCTCTCTCACCAACAGAAGTTGGTCCCATAAAAGATACTAGCTCACCTGCCTTGTCTCTCTAAGCTCATAATTGATATTCTCAACTGAGTGTTAGGTCTCTCCTCCTTCATAAATTCAGATGCTTATGGTGGAAACTTCTGCATCTCTCTTCAGTTTATTCTACATTAAGTAGAAAGTTTCTGCAGCAAATGCAGGCCTGCTGTCCAACAGAACAGCCAGTTCTAAACATATTAAATTACCAAAGATGTTCCTATCTTATGGAAATAACAGTTCCTATATGATCAATGGGATAACCATGTGACTCCAAGACACTGGGCATGTGACAAGCTATTTAGAAAAGCATCTACTAAATTAACATAATAACAAACTATCCAGAACTATAAAACACTTAATTTAGAACAATAGCCATACCAAGAGTCACTATTACAAATATTGCATCAGCCTTGAGTAGAATGCTGGATAAGGTATAGGAGTACGCACTTGGAATGGCATATGACAAACACGAGGACAACCCCAGAGCGCATTCCCCAATCCAGTAGTTGGTTTTAGATATTGCTAAGTCATATGTCAATGTTCGTGGGGCTCTTCTCTCTTTAGCTGGACAACCTCACATGTCAGTGGATTGTTCTGGAGATCTGTCCTCTAGTGCCCTACTTGTTTCAGGTTCCATGGTTATGGTTTGGGATTCACATCTGTCAGTGGCTGGTGTAAATGTCACATCACTCTCATCAGCAGTTTTCGCATTGACAGGGTGAGCAACAGGCTCATATCCCCAGCATGGATAAAACGCTTCTGCCCTTGCAGTGGATTCATTTTCATTCTCACTATCAGAATCACTGGAGTCCAAATTTGTGTCCTTATTTTGATCTCTTACTGCATTAGTTTGCCTTATTCTCTGTATTTTCAGCTGTGGTGGCTTCGATGGTGGTGTTATGTCCACAGGTAAGAAGCCCACAGGGAAGTAAAAGATTACAGTGAAGAACTCTAATACCTTCTTTTCCATCTTCCATATTTACTTCATAGATTAGACTATCCCCTTTCCTTTCAAGAACGACATGAATTGTATCTTCCCAGCAGCATTTTAATTTCCCCTCTTTCTGAAAGATTCCTGACAAGTACTCTGTCACCTGGCAAGAGGGCAGTGTCATGCCTTTTCTGATGATCATCATGATTCTTTCCATGAGCAGCAGATTGTTTAGAACATTCTGATGCCAGTTCATAAGATTCTTTCATCTGTTGTTTCCATTTCTCTACATAATATTTCCAGTCCCCAGGTGCAGATTCAGAGTTTATAGGTAGGCCAAATGTGATGTAAATGAGCAAACATGGTGATAATCCACACAATTAATAGAATGCTAAGACCCCTGTAGCCTCACTTCTGGCAAAGTGATAGGCATACATTACCTTATTAAGGGAATCCTTTCACTTTGACTTTTTTTCTGTGGCAGGGTTCTCAATGTGGCCAGCACAGTTTGGTTCAGCCTTTCTACTTGCCCACTACCCTGTGGGTGGTGTGGGTTGTGTGAGGGGTTTCAATATTACAGTAGTTCTATAACCTTCTGAATAAATTATTTTCAAACTCTGCCTCTAGGTCGTGCTGACGCCTTTTAAAACTAAGTCACTGAAGATCTTGTCTGCCACAGTCCTTCCTGGCTTCTTAGCGGTGGCAGGGTAGGCTTGAACAAACCTCATGACGTGATCCACAATGACTAAGATGTAGTCTTATCCTCCTTTGCGTCTCTCTGGATGCAAGAGGCTTATCGATATAAGCTCAAATCATTCTGTTTTAGCTGTTAGTTGGTGGAACTCTGGAAGGCTGGTGAAGTGTCCATTTGCCCTTTTGCTGTAGCAATAAACTGTAAAATCTTATCTTTTAATGCAAGCAATGTAGATAATCCCTGATCTTCCAACTCTTCCCACCCATTTAAGTGGCTTCTTATATATTCGGTTAAAGCAAAATGGCTTTTTGCTACAGTTTCACTGTGACTTGTCCCGGAAATGCCCAGAGAGCCATAGATTTCTCTTAAATGCTCATCCTTTAGCTGGTATGAAAGTCCTCCTATCTCCACCTGTAGGTCCCCTAAGTCAATGGTTTTCAACCTTTTTTCATTTGAAGATCCTTAAACAATTTAAAATGGAGGTGCAGACCCCTTGGAAATCTTAGACATAGTCTGCAGATCGAAGCCCCAGTGGTCCATGGACCAATGGTTGAAAACCACAGTTCTATGGTAATAAAAATCTTTCTTGGAGCCCTTAGACATAGTCTGGGGACCCCAGTGATCTGCAGACCACAGGCTGAAAACCACTGCTCCTAGTCTCTCCCCGCCATAGTGCTTGCAAACAATTATATTTCCCGTGGCAGCTTTTCCTGCAACAGTGGACAGCAGCTTCTAGGTAGGTTCCTCTGTCAGGGAGGTCAGTTCATTGCAATTCAGCCTCTTCTGCTTGTGCTCACCAAATATTACAATCCCAGACTAGGGGCAGTTTTAAAATTGGAGTTTTATTAAACAGTATTAAATGCACAAGCCCTCATTGCAGCTCAGTCCTTCCAGAACACACAGAGCTTGCTGCAACAAGAGCCGTCCCCTTTGATCCCCTCAGCTCAGCAGACCTTCAAGCCTTAAAGGGACAGGGCACAGGTAAATCTAACCCTGCCATTCCCTTTTGAGTGCTACATTGGGTGTGCCCCCATGCAAGGCAGGAGATGAGACCGATCCGGAGGTGTGAGGCCATTTGGTACCTGTAATTAGACCAAGAAACATGGTATAGAAAATGCTGAAGAAAAAGGTTTGAGCCTGAATATCAACCTGGATCCAAACATCCCCAGACTTTGGGAAAGCAGGTTGGGATCACATTTTGCACCTCGGGGTTTTCTTTAGAGTCTCCCATCTAAACACTAAGCACCAGCCCTGTTTACGTTGGTGGGTCTGATAAGATGCCAGCCCCAGGTGTCACTAGGGATTGCTAAAGATAGCTATAAGACACTGAACGTTAAGGCTCTATTTCCAAAAATCACTGTCTGAGTTACCGAGAGACCTCTAAAACAACAAGGAGTCCGGTGGCACCTTAAAGACTAACAGATTTATTTGGGCATAAGCCCCACGAAAGCTTATGCCCAAATAAATCTGTTAGTCTCTAAAGTGCCACCGGACCCCTTGCTGTTTTTGTGGATACAGACTTAACACGGCTACCCCCTTATGAGAGACCACTGAACACACAACATATGCATGTGCCCAAGCACAACAGGGCCTTGCCCTGGGGGGGGGGGGGGGCAGGCAGGAAGGGGTGAGTTAGTAGAGGGCAAGGCGAGGGAGCAGGAGGCAGGCTGGAGAACAAGGCAGCTTGGTGGCAGGGCCAGCCTGGAGGCAGTCTCACCCCAGGACCCCCGAGGGGCGGTGCCCTGGGTGGCAGGTCTCCGCTGAGCCCAGAGGGGCGCGGAGAAGGGGCTCTGCACTGGGGGTGGGGGGCGAGCCGAGAGATGGGATGGGGGCCGCGGGGGGTTTGCTCCAGGAGCTGCCTTAAAGCCGCCACGATCCCCTAGCGCCGAGTCCCAGCTCCCCCTGGGCTGGTGCCGCTTTAAGGCGGCGCCTGCGGCCGCCGGTCCCTGGGAAGAGGAACTGGGGCTAACACTGCCGGGTTGGGCTGCAGGGCCACGGGCAAGAGCCGGGCTCGCCTAGGCGCGCTGCCCCGACCCTCCTCCGGCGCCGCTTGCTGCTTCGGGACGGGGCTGGGCAGCCAGCGGCTCTTTGCAGGGCGCGCTGCCTCGCCTCCCCGCAGCGGGCCAGATGCGCCCCGCGCCGCGCTCCCTGGCCCCGGCCGTGCCCCGCGCAGCGGGCCAGATGTGCCCGGCGCTGCGGGGGCCGGGGCAGCCCGGCCCCTCCTCTTAGCGGCCGCTTGCGGGCAGCTGCAGCGGACGGAGAGGGCGGAATTTCTTCTGCGCCAGGATCCCCAGCCCGCCGCCGCCGCTCGAGCCCTGGGCCGGAGTCGGCTCCCCTCGGTAGCGTTGCGGCGGCGGGAGATGGAGCCTCGCGGCCGGCCTGGGGTGGGGGTGGTTGGGCCCCAGGTTCAGCGATGCCCGTCATGATAGCCCCTTGATCCGCTCCCTCCACCCCACCCCCAGCTCAGCCATGGCTGCACTGAGCCGCTTTCTGCACCCACACACCCGGCACGGCGCCCCCTTCACAGCGCTGGGGCTGGGCAGGGCTCCCCTCTCCGGAGCCAGGTCGTGCAGCGCCAGGGGCAGGCACCTGCGCGTCTTGGTGGACATGGATGGGGTGCTGGCGGACTTTGAAGGAGGATTCTTAAAGAAGTTCAGGGCCAGGTACCCAGAGAAGCCGTATATTGCCCTGGAGGATCGCAGGGGCTTCTGGGTGTCGGAGCAGTATGGCCAGCTGAGACCTGAGCTGAGTGTGAGTTAATGGATTTCTCCCCCACACCCCCGTTATATTTTTGTTCTTCATTATTTGTCTGACACACAGACTGTAAACTCTGGTGGGCAGGGGTTGTTGTCTTAATTTGTCTGTGCATCATCTAACGTAGGCCCTGATCCTTGGTCGGGGCTCCTCCATGCTACAATAAGAATTAATAATACTTAAAATCGTTATTATTATTAATAATAATGTATATATTGGGGTTTCAATGTTGATTTTTTTTTTCCTCCTGAAATTAAGCGGATTTTAATGCAGATTCTTGCGGCAGGCTGTCTTTCTATTTTGATCAGAGGGAATGAAGCATCTGGCAGGGCCAGAGTCAGGAGACTGGACTAGATGGACCTTTGGTCTGACCCAGTGTTGCCGTTCTTATGTTCTTAAGATAGTGTGATTTCTTCTGAGATTTCAGCAATGGTTGTCCACTGCCATGTGTTCCCAAGAACTTGGGCTTTAGGGGTGTTCATGGTGTTGGGTTATCTCATTGTATCCATCACATTAACAGACATCACTCCAGTTAAAACCTGCAAACTCTTGGGGTGAAATCCTGGACGTCATTGGTAAAACTTCAGTGGGGCCATGATTTCCTCCTGGGTTTCAGACAGTGCCCAGTTGATATTGGAGAAAGGGAGTCAGGCTGTTTCTGTATGGTATTTTGGCAACAGCATTCGGGATGCTGCGCTCCATTTCGGGCCACATCAACAGAAGGATATTGACAAATTGGAGGGAGCTCAGAGAAGAGCAACCAAAGTGATCAGAGAGCTGTGAGGGGATCAGCTTTGGAGGGAAGAGTTAAAGAGCTAAATGCCCATAGCCTGATAGCCTACAGAGATTGGAAGGGTGTTAATTCCTGGGGGAAGGGGTGATTCTATACAGTTCCAGGGGATAAATAAGATCAAATAAGAAAAGGAAAATGTTGGGTGAAGATCAGGAAAATCTTAGCAGTGAGCTCTATTAAACCAGGGAAAAGTCTCCCCAGGGAAGTGGTAGAATCTCGAGGCCTTGGACTTTCAAACCTAGATCAATCAGAGCACTGAGCACAAGAACAATCCTGACCTGGCATGAGATGATCTGGCAGGTGTTTTTCCTCACTAAAGGCTCAGCTCTGCTCCCATTGAATGTAGTGGTAAACCTCCTATTGACTTTGGGAGCAGAGCCAGCCCCTGCATCCCCAGTACAGCAAAGCACTTAAGCACGTGTGTAAGTGCTTTGCTGAACTGGTGCCGGATGTCAGCTGTAGAATGATGATTTATAGCTTTTATACCCCACTGGTATAATGCACTGTAGTTTGAGTTGCAGTGAACATTATTTTAACTTAATAACCTGTTACAGTAACTGCTCTTTTCACATGGACGGGGGGATTCTCGGCAGGCTGCATTGCAGCCCTAGGAGTTGCCTTCACTTTTTATTTTTTTAACATGCACTAAGGTGTGTAAGAAGGATTGTTTCCAAACCACTGGTGCTACTTGAGTCTTCTGCTGCCCTTCAGCTTCCCTGGGGCAGCAGAGTGATGGGATTTCTGGTTTACTCCCTCCCGCCCTTTTAAGTGGGTGTGTTCTGCCCTCCCACATTCTGCACCGAGGTATCTGACAGGTGGCTGGACTTTGCTTTGGTGCTCTCCAGCACTGAGCAATTAATGCTTAGGGTAGATTGTGGCCCAGCTGTGCAAGGGAGTATAGGGGATTTAAGGCTCCTCTGTGCTCCCATGCATGACACTAGAGACCTAGATCGCAGGTAGCAGTGCTGGAAGCTGGATCATTACATCCACCATGCAAGAGGGTGGGAGTGGACAAGGTGGTGAGGGGGCAAACCCTTGGCTCTGCCACCACCCAATGCACAGGCTAGCATAGCTAGATATAGGCCTGACACATGGTACTTCTCCCTGAGAGCAAAGGGGAATCTGGAAGGCAAAATGTGGCTCCCGGATTCACACCTTGCCTTCTGATCTGCTCGAGGGGAAGTGGAACAGCCTGCTGCCCAGTGCTTGGGGTTCATGACAAAGCCACAATCGAGCCCTTAAGCTGAACTCAACCTTCTCTTGCTCCTGTCATGTTAAGACAATTGCTTATGGGTGAGACCTCCAGAATGTCCCATTTCTCCCCTCCACCAAAGGATCCACATCCAGGCAAAACAATTCTGCGACTATAGATTCATGGTCATCAGTGAGGATGAAACCAGGGGTGTGGCTGACGCGCACTGCAGTATTCTCTGTTTCCCATGGCCCATAGGTCAGGGCAAGTAGAGTATGAGAGCAGCTCTACCGTACACAGAGAACCAGGAAGCCCCTGGACAACCCCAAAATACTCCAGAGCACAAAAGTGGCTTAAAGCCACCTTTGCCCCTCTGATTCTGCCCCAAGCAAAGAAGCACAGGGCCTATGTGTCATCACAAATCCTTAATTGCACAGCTGCCTTCAGAATATTTCAAGGCTGCTTCCAGATTGCTCCAGTTGGGTTGCAAAACAGTTCCTTCAGCTGGGGCTGAGCGTGCTGCCATTGCCCAAGGATCTCAGTGCTCAAGCTGGGATCTTTATGCGCAGGCCATCACTATGTTATTTTTAATCAGGGGAAATAGAATTTTTCTTTAATTTAGGCCTGGCTTGCATGTTTCTAGTCCCTTGCCTGGATCAGTAGCTCTGGAGCAGATGTGATTCTGTGATCTTCAATCAGTATGGTGCAAATCTCTTCCTCTGAACAGTTGATCAAATCCAAATCAAATACTTCCAAAAGAAGCAACCCCCCAGCAAAGACAAGCTAGATGTGCAGAAACACACTCCTTCCACCTTTTTGTTTTTGAGCATGAGACCACAAAAGGCTGCTTTCCTTAACAATCTACATGTCATTAGCAATTTAAGGCAGTGCAAGGACTTACAGGTGCACTGAGTACACCCTGCTCTCTAGACCCAGCTACGAGGTGTAAATTACAGACCGCTCCCGGTCTCTGGTCTCCCTTGTCCCAGGATTCTGCTCCATACACTTTGCCTTCCTCAGGCCTCCCTTTTTTCCGTGGCAGCGTTATAACGAAGTGCTCAAGCCCTTGTCCTCAGGGACTCTGGCACATGCTGAATTTGCCTTGCTCAGGAACTCACTTGACTGGTATTTTTTAGACAGACCCTTGAGGTTAGAGGGGTAGCGTTCCTTGCCCCCATTGGGGCATTTTGGTTACTACCTTAGATTCTTTCATGGAGACCAAATGTCCCCATAGCACCCAATGCTGAACAACACTGCATTACAGCAGATTTGGGAAGCTAATCTGCTTCAGATGGACCTGGGTCATGAGATTCAGATCCAGGGTTTGGGAGAATTCAAGTTTTGGTTCAGGACCCTCTCTCACACCTGCTGTCGGACCCAGCCAGCCTCTTGAACACCTACCATCTTCTTTCCAGGTGAAGGGCCATCAGGGGGGGAAAATGCACATGGCAACCCAGGGCAGGGAGGAGAGGAGCAGGACCAGAGTACAGTAACTGGGTTGTTTGCCCTTGCAGGAGAAAGCAATCAGCATATGGGAGTCAAAGAATTTCTTCATTGAGCTGGATCCAATCCCAGGGGCTGTGGAAGCCGTGAAGCAAATGGCCAAGTTGGAAAAGTGAGTACACGTTCACAGTTGTGGATGGGAGGGGGTCTAAGTGCCACAGGGCATTTGTGCTCTAGCCTTCCGCCGCTGGAGATCGGGTGGTTCAAATTCCAATGGGTGAAAATTAATGTGATCCTAGCGTCTGCTGTAAAGCCCTCACGTACTTAGGTGCAGTTGTTGATCCGATTTAGAGCCGCCTCTGCTTTTCCAGTTGTGGGACTTCTTTTAGGTGGGAATTGAGCTGCATTGGCAGAGCTCTGGAGAGAACACTTCTTGTTCGTAATAAACACGTGTGTGCACATAGATTGGTCAAAGCACTTGGCAAGACAGTCTGTCCTGGTTTGCTCCGTGTCAGTGAGCATAAACATCATATGAATGGAGATTTCCAGTTCTAATATCTAGGCCTCCCTGGGACCTGTCTACAGGTTTTGCCTACTCCTAAAGTAGGAGCCATAGTTTCAGCAGAGATTTTGCTAAGCAAGCTATAGCACCTGAGCCCTCCTGGCGTCTGCCTCCCTAGTGCCCTCTCTCGGATGTGTGCCTGGGTTAGTTACCTCAGTGCCCACTCACCAGAAATGCTTTTTCGTGTAACCCTGTTCAGTATATGGCGGCGAGTTCCAGTCAGGGCTTGGTGTCCCTGTAGCAGCGACCAGACTATTTAGGGGTACGTCTTGAATCCTACAGTGCTTTTAGAGCTGGAAAGGGAATTAAATTGGTGCGGTTCCCCACTCTCGCTCTCTCTCTCTCTTTTCCCGGCAGCACTGATGTGTTCATCTGCACAAGCCCGATCAAGAAGTACCGCTACTGTGCTTATGAGAAGGTAAGCAGTGAGTGAGCCGTGTGGAACGGAGTGGAGGTGGGTGGGCTAGCTCTGGGACTGGGCCCCAAAGCACAAGTGTCACCCATGGAATGTAAAATCTCTTGCTGGCCAGTGTGTTTCTCCAGCCCCACCCCTATCGCTGGAGAGCTCTTCTGTAGCATTTGGTCCATCACACTGCAAGGTCAGCGCCTGTGTCTTGTGCTTCCCAAATGATCCCAAAGCACTCTAAAGGCTATATATACCAGAACCACTTCATTCGCCTCTAGGATGCAGCCACCTCTGAGATGGAATATGGCAGCTGTCTGACAGAGCACAGTGACGCTATGTAACAGTTTGGGACAGGAAGTGAAGTATATGCTCTCCAATTCAAACTGCAGGGGAAATTTAGACAGGCAGAAAGCTATTACCCAAGGATAGGTTGGCAGGGCTAATCCTTGGTATCTTCAGTAACCACATATGAGAGTAGGGATAGCCTTGTGGCAAATGTCCAGGTCTGGGGAACCAGGATGCCTGTGTTCTAGTCCTGCCTCTGCCCCTGACTTGCTATGCTGCCTTAAGGAAGTCAGCTGACCTCAGTTTGCCCATCTGCAAAATGGGAGTGGGTTCTTGCCTACCTCACAGAAGGCATTGGGGCCTTAACTAATTACTGTCTGTGAAGTGTGCTGAACTCCTTAGGTGGAAAGTGCTATGGCAGGCAGACACTATGATAATTATAAGCATGTGGGACCTTAGTTTTTACATTTCATCACAATCCCAGAAATGATCGGTGATTAAAGCATGAGACACTTCTCAGGTGTTAGTAAGTGGAGAGTGAGCTGAACAAACAGGAGATGCACAGCTGGGACCATGTTGGGTGCAAATTGGAGGGAAATCAGTGTCCTTTCTGGGCCATTAATACTGTTACCCCTTTTGGCCCCAGTGGTTAGCTATAGTTAGGAACCCTGCAGGCTGTTTCTATCAGGAGGAGACGTTGATGGAGTCAGGTATATTTGATGCAATGCTGTTTGTTTATAAGAACGTACAAAGTCCTGTTCCCCTGAACACAGTAGGAATCAAACAGCAGGAGACAGTATCTTTGCTCTCAGCTCCAAGCCCCTTTCTATAGCCAGGAACTTGGCTCAAAAGCTCTCCGCTTAGCTTTTTCTCAGGGCCATGCAGCCAATGCCTTTGTAGCTGTGTCTGGTGCTTCTTTGCTGCCTTCTTTCTCTGCTTCGCTGGTTCTTCTCCCTCCCACACAGGCACACACCTCCATGGTCCACCAAGTAATACCCAGCGAAAAACCCTCCACTCACTTAGCTCAGCTCCCTGAGTGGCCTCACATGTAATGACGAGTGCCTTTGGTTTGGTTCTATTGTTTCTTACATTCATCCCAAACCCAGGGTGGCTGGTACCCTCAGCAGTTTCACTGAGGTTTGTCCCAAATCCGAACAATGTACTTGGCAGGGTGTCCTCCCACCCCTGCCCCCAGAGCCTCCTGTCGTTCCTTACCTTTGTCTTTCGCTAGCTAAACCAATGTCAAGCGCTCTGCGCCTGGTATTTGATGCTGCCTTTCATCTGAGCGGGTGACCATGCGGCTGCTGAAGCCAGCCTGCCCTACCTGCCACACTAACTGCGCCACCCTCTTGCTTTCCAGTACGCCTGGGTGGAGAAGCATTTTGGCCAAGAATTTCTGGAGCAGATTGTCCTAACGCGAGATAAAACTGTGATCTCTGGCGATCTGCTTATAGATGATAGATCAGATATTACAGGTACGGGAGATTGGACGCGGTAAAGGTAACTGTATGATACTCCTGGGGCAGGTAGACTGGGGTTGCTCCCCTGCCCGTGTGTTTTGTTTACTTCTTTATGGACCTTTTTGGCCATTGCTGAATGCCTTATGCACGTCGGGCTCATGTACACCTGCTGTACTCCCAGCTACGTTGGCTGTAATGTTTTTTCGGGCTGTTATTATTGAGCAAGAGCTGCCAAAACTCCTTGCACTGCTGATGCCTGCCAGAGATTGGATCGGCATTTTCTTAGAGCCCAGGGGCGTTTGGTTCTGGGTCAGCCCAGGGTGGAGAGAGGGTCTAGCAGGGAAATCCGGATTCAGAGCTGAGCCTCCCCAAGGTGTGGATGGGCAAGTCTAGTGAGTGGGACAGTGGGCTGAGACTCAAGAGACCTGGGTTCAGTTCTTGGTTCAATCACAGTCTCCCTTTGGGAACTTGGGCAAGTCTCTTAGGGGTTGTCTACAGGGTGCATTAGTCTGCACCTGCAAGGTGTCAATTCTAGTGTGCACTAGCCTGTCGTGCACTAACTGGCCCATGTGGACCCTGCTGGTGCGCACTAACAGTTCCCTAGTGCACGTTGATGTGGTCCCGTTTCAAACAGTACAGCGTTACTGTGCACTAGGAAACTGTTAGTGCGCACCAGCAGGGTCCCCCCCAGGCCAGTTAGTGTGTGACACGCTACTGCGCCCTAGAATTGATACCCCACTGGTGCAGACTAATTTACTGTGCAGAGAAGTCCCTAATCTTCCCTGTGCCTCCATTGCCCTGACCATTACATGGGGATCCGCACTTCCCTACCTCCCCGAGAGTTGTGAGGATGAAGTCCGTTAGCGACTGCGAGTTGTGCGGATACCACAGCAAGGAGGACCAGGGCCGTACCGAGCTAGATGGGGTTGGACATGGGCCCATCTCTGATGAGATCCCAGGTTGCTGGAAGTACAACATCAACACACGGACCCAGAGCCTCCTGCAGGGTCGTGATGGTGCTCGAAGGCCCCTCCCTGAGCCGCTTTGCTCTTCCTGTCTTTCAGGAGCTGAGCCGAACCCCAGCTGGGAGCACGTTCTCTTCACAGCCTGTCACAATAAGCACCTGCAGCTGCAGCCCCCCAGCAGGAGGCTCCAATCGTGGGCCGAGAACTGGAGGGCGATCCTGGACAGCAAGCGGCCACTGCACAGCTGGGCCATATAAAGCGACAGGCCCCTGAGGCTGCCCCCTTAGCTGAATGGAACCTCGGTGCGCTCTGTGGTGTCCAGCTCTGGGCTGAAACCCACAGACAGACAATTTTGCTGGGCAGAGTAAGGAGAGGGGCCCTGGCGGGGAGCGATCGCAGCAGCACCAACCCCAGAGAACAGGGCCAAAGGGGGATCGTGTTCATTAAGCTAGAGGCCACTGGGCCATGTGTGACTGGGCCGCCGTGAAGCAACAGAAGGATTCTGGGCCCATGCCACTACAGGAAGCCCTGTCTACTGTGTGTCCTCTTTGCACCCAGCTCTATATAACTCAGTGGCACCTTAGTACTGGCATCTGGTGACACCAAATGTAGCGTCTCCGATGGACTCACCTCTCAGCTCATTACCCGGCGTCCCCTGGACCGTGGTGCGGATTAACTTTGGAATACCCGCCCCCCCTATCTACACTGAGTTGGAGCACTGGATCAGCAGTTTGCCCTAGAGGACTGTTTGCCCTAGGGTTTGCCCTAGAGGACTGTCAACATCCTTCCTCCTCCACCCATCCTGACACAGAGGAGTGGTGTTCCCTTCCCTCAGTCCCCAGCCTGCCTCTTCTTCATTCTTTGGCTCACCTGCTGTCACCACTCCAAGGGGAGCATCTTCGTGCAGCAGCGTTCGCTTTTCCTCACAGCTGTGACTGTGCCTGCCGGGACTGCCTTGCAGGAGCGCATGGAGGAACATTGTGAAACGAGGTGCTGGGGGGCACGATCCCCTCCAGCCAAGAGTGCACATCGGTCACAAATAGAGTCCAAGGGAAAGGTCTCCTCAGAGGGCCACCGCACAGAATCTCCGACTCTCCTGCCTGTCCCAAGGGGTAAGGAGGACTCTGCAAAAATGCAACACGCAGAGAGCGACAGAGAGCAGCGACCAGAGAGCAGCCACGGCCTCAAAGGGGAAGGGTCAACATTCAGAGTGGGCAGCCTGTACGCTGGCTCAGCTGTGCTGCATGTGGCATGAGATAGCAAGATCCAGGCCATGGCTAAGTACCCATGTGATCAGGCTGCAAGAAGACTGGCCCAGCATCAATATGCCGAGGATGGCGTTCCCGCCCCCACCATGGCTCTGGCAGTAGTGTCGGGTGAGGGGAGTGTAGACAGGGCCAGCTTTAGGATTCTGGGGGGTTCCCCCTGAAACATTCCTTTAAACTCAACCTACTCTTATCAAAGTAGCCTCCTCCCAAGCTGGTGTAGTATGGTTCTGTCACGACCCATCTTCCTCAAACATTGACAGAGCGACACAACAATGCCTGAAATTCAGGGGATGTAATTATCCTGCAACCTGGGCTGGTGAAAATCAGGGACACGTTACTGATTGGAGGACAGGGGCAACCCCACTTTGATCATCAGGGACCTGCATCAGCTCGGCGATGCCGAGGGGCTCAAACTGATTTTGGATGTAACCCAGCAGCACCGTCTTTAGAAAGGGCTCGGATGGCGGCTGTGCGTTGGCGGGGGTCACTGTAGGGGGAGATGAACGTTCGCAACTCCTCCCTAGGGCTTCCTCATTCCAGATGAGTGAGGCAACAACTCTGGCCCAACATTTACTTCCCCCAGAGATCATAGGTACTGGAACAAGCCGCACCCACTGGCTTGAAGTGGTTTCCATTGTACACAGGGTTTACAGTTTAGTTCAATGGCTCTCAGCACCCCCACTATAAAAATGGTTCCAGTGCGCCTGCAATAGATTGGGGAGCCCCTAACTAGCTTGAAGTTATCCATGGGCTATCACTTCCCCTCCCCCCACAGTGGTTTTGGAGGCTCTTCTCCCCTACTCAAGACTTTATTCCTGGGATGGTTGGGGTTCTCTGTCTCAGCTGTTAACTCTCGAGTGCAGCCCCTTGAGTTGAGATAGTCAGTGTCACGCGACTGGCATGCCTCTCACAGCTGTGCCGCACATCAACGACCATTGTTCAACTGAAGCACCAACAAGTGGCTCTGCCATCCCATTAATCCTTTCTCCATAGGCTGGCTATTAGGAATGGGCAAGCTAATGGGGCTGAGAAGAGAGAGGTGGATGAAATAGGCATGATCTAGCCCGAGAGGTGCGGTTAGCAGCCTGAGCACATGATGGGGAGCCAGGAACTCATGGGTTTTCGTCCTGGCTCTTCCAATGATCCAAGTTACAGGCAAATCACTTTGCCTCCCTGTGCCCCGGCTTGTATAATGGATACGTCAGTACCTCTTGGGGTGAGGAGGGGCTGGAACAACAGCCAGCCTCTAAATCTTTGAGGTGTGTAGGCTATTTCCTACACACATTGGGAAGAGAGGGTGAGTGGAGGAACGAAGCTAAAAGACATTGCGGTAACCACAGTTCATCACCAGGTGCCCGAGTGTGCTCTTTGGCACTGAAATAATTGACCAGAAGCACAGTTCGGAGGGCCCAGTGACCATACACATTGATAAAGCCAGAGCCTGGGTGGGCCTCAGCATTGGAGATCCACCGCAGAATGGACAGAACCTGCCATTGCAGTTGGAAGAACAAAAAGCTCAAGGCTGCGCTCGTTGGTATCTCTCCTCCCTCCATCAGACATCCAGAAAGCAGAGGGCCCTGCCAACACCACAGACCTTTACTACAGGCCTGCTGTCCTTCAGAGAGGGGCTTCGTTAAGTGGTGCAGAACGATCTCCTCGGAAGCCCCTTCCCTCTGCCAGGCTCATCCCGCTCTGTGTCCGGAACGTAGGTTACCACTTCTGAGACCCACGGGCATTGCCTCCTGCCAGCAGAGTCCGGCCAGCCAGCATGCGCATTCCACACAATACTCTTGGCAATGAAAAGGAGAATCTCCCTCCACCACCCAAGAATGGGACCTGTGGGTTCCCCTAAGCTAAAGGCTCCCAGGCAGGAGGGCCGCCAAGTGTTTTCAACTCTTGGCCCTTTGCCTGCAGCAATCACTCTTCCCTGCAATCAATCTTCACACATTTGGATTCCCAACCTCTCTCCTTAGCAAAGCTGTAAAAAGCAGGTAAAGCCTGAAACCACATGGTGCATGAAAAAGCTGTTTCCCTGATTACTGCGCGGTTGGCGTTAAGCTCTTACCGAGATCTGTAGGACCTGGACATTGCACTGAACAAAGATGGTGCTTCAGGATTTTGCCCTTCCTCAGCTTTTACCACTGGGGCCAAACCCCAAGCTGTCGTGGGGAGCCATAACTGCTGCTTGGGGATTGCGAACGCTCACGTCTCCCGGGGTTTGAGCCCCTGTCTGCAGTGGGCGTTCTGCCTGAGGGAGGGCTGCAGGGTTTGGTCCAGCTTGTGTGTGTTACAGACTGGAAGGGCTGCCTTAAAATTTAAACCACTGTGTACATGCCTGGGGTGATCAAATGGGTATTGTAGCGGCCTGGGGCCCAGCAAGGTCTAGACAGCTGTTGCTCAGTCTGAGCAGCCCTTTAGCAGCGACGGGCGGCAGACGGACGTAGCTGGTGTACCACACCCTCTGAGGGCATTACATTTTTTTCAGCACTGTGTTTGATTTGTTAATTGTCCCAGTTCTCCCTCCCAGTCCCCTCCACCCCTCTGGGTAATGCTGTTGTCTGGAAGGGGTTCCTAGGGGGAGGACAGAGCTTACTCGGGGTTACAGCTGCTATTCAGCATTATGGCCCTAGCTGCGAGTGTGACTTTGCTTTCTCATTGGTTGGTTATTTTTTCCACTTTTGAGGACATAATATTAAGAGTGAAATCAGGTTGGTCCTGTTTTACAGTGCCGGCACTTGGAAGAGGAAGATGTGTTTCCAGGGCTAACAGCCCTGTTATTCTTCTCTCTCACACACATAACGCGCACACCCCCATCCACCCCTGGCTATAAGCTGAACTGTTTGGACCATATCCTCAGGTGTGTAAATCAGCATAGCCAGTGATGGTAGGGAAACAAGGCCAATTTACACCAGTTGAGGATTTGGTCTTTAAAATGGTTACATTGTTTTGCTCAACTGAGATGCAGAGAAGCGGTTTTTTTAGATTTACAGTGTATAACAGATCCACCCAGGATCCTTGCACTAAATATTCAATTTTGTTGTCATTGCAGTTTATATAAAATAGGGTTTTAATATTCCTGGTACCATACTAACCGTGATAGAGGAGCGATTTTACCTCCAGGGCTCAGATTACTCTGGAGAAGGGTCATGTGGCACAAGCAACATGTTACCGACCACTGCTGCTTTCTTTTGGCAACTACGTTCCAGCCCATTCGATGGAATCCCCGTGAACGGAAATAGGGCTGGTAGGAGGCCACTTCCTGTTTTGGCAGAGAGGTACGTATCATACAACAGGGAGGTAGGCAATGCAATCTCCTGGTTACATTATGGAACTGGTTGTCAGGACTCCTGGGTTGTCTTCCTAGTTCTGTCTGTTTGTCTAGGGTTTGGTACCGGGATATCGGAGCATCATTGCCACAGACTCGCCATATGACCTTAAGCAAATCACTTACCCATTCTGTGCCTCAGTTTCCTCATCTGTAAAATTTGGATAATCCCACCTACTTCACAGGGATACTGTGAGGAGGAGCAGGATAACGTCATGTGCTTTGAGAGCCCCAGTCAGAACATGCTCTGTAATTTATCATTAATGATGTGCTTCCTCTCGGATAGGCACAGGAATCAAATTGGGGCCGGATGACCGTTTTGGGGCCCAATCCAAGGGTGTTGTGAAAATGCTGATCTTTACAGCAAATGCTTCTCAGTTCCCTGGACGTCAACAGAGATGGGTCAGGACCACACCTGCTGAAATCCAGAGACATTTGTTTTTCCCATTTCTAGTCACCAGTGGTGGGTGGGTGTATAACATATTGTGCGTATCCTATGGGGTGTCTACTGGATACAGCTGCTGTACATGGAGAGACTGAGTGGGCAAAACATCCTCTTCTAGCCTACTGAAATGAGGAAACATGACAGGTGGTGGCCATCTGGGCCAGTCTGGCACATCCCAGGGAGCGATAAGGAGCGAGGCCAGAATCTGGAAGGTTTTAGCTGCCTGAAAAATACAGCATGAGCCTGATCCCAAAGCTGGTGGTGGAGACATATGGAAGGACTTGCTTCAGGGCCTAGCTGCTCCGCGAGGCACCAGAGAGTCTGTTGCACACGATGAGAAATGGGATTTGCTTGTAAAACTAAAGGGTAATAGTGCGGCTCATGGGTGAGTTGGTGGTTGTTCCGCTCCCAGGCTGACAGGGCACTGAGCAGTAGCCCTTGTGTTGATTTGACTGAATTGGAGGAAGAGAGAGAGGAGGGGGGAGTTCTCCTTCAGGGTGTCCTGGTCAATGGACCCCATCTTGGCAGTTATTAAACAGTTACTCTCTGAAGGGTGGTGGGCTCAGTCCCGACGGACAAGTGTCCACATCACAGGAAGCCGCGAGCTTAGCCACTCCCTTGTTAGCAGGCGCCAAGGTTTGACTGTGCCCCGGGGACGGAACTCCCCTCACCCGTCGTGGCGGTAGCCAGGACTGAGGTGGCAGCATGGAGGAAGGATGTATTAGTGCTGTGGCTAGATATCAGAGCCCAGCCATCACGGCTCTCAGTGCAGCGCTAAATTCACTTTAAAGAGAAAATTAGATTTGAGATAGGGCTTTTTACTCTTCAGGCTCAGCATCCCTAATTAAATAGAACAAGTAATGAGATTAAAACGAGGTTAGTCCATTCCCAGGGGAGCAGAGATAGTGGAATCGAGGGGATGTCACCGAAGGCTGAATGTGCCCATTAACCCATTTTAGCTTTGAGAAGTATGTTCCTGGGCATTACCAGCCCTTGTTATCACCAGCTAGCTCCAGTGACTGGCTCCAGGCCCCTGTCCTAAGGGCCAGATTCTGCTCTCGCTTACACCAGGGTAAGGAGTATCCCCTGAAGTCAGCAATACTGCAGGGGTGTAAAATGAGTGGGAAGCCAAGATCAGGCTCCATGGGTCTGATTCTTATCTCCTGTACACTGGTGTCAGTCACTGTAGTAAATGGAGTGGCACTGCAGGAGGTGAGATCAGAATCAGGCCCCAGGTGCTTCAAGTCAAAGCCAGCTAGCCTAGCCGTGAGGCCCCACTGTAGGGCCCATGGGTGTATGCAGGTGTCTTGCCTTGGTTATGTTGGAGATTTGTCAGTTTCATGTTTTGGGGCTGAGAGAAATGATATAAAAGGGATGTGAAAACAAATGTAAGGTGTCTGTGTATGAATGGATGCATAAACCTGGTTCTTGTTGTGTATCAACCACCCGACACTATGGGATCTATAGGGGACAGGAGTGCAAAGGGACCTCTAGGATGCCCAAGTCCAGCCCTAACCAAGGAGCAGGAAAGACTCAACCCTGTCCTTTCCGTGGGCCAAATCCTTCTCAGTGCATGGGAGAGATGTGGGGAGAGACGTGGAGCAAGAGAGACAAGCCGCTCTTGTCGTACATGGACCTGAACCTCTTGGGGCAACTTGAACCCTGGCATAAGCAGGTGCAGCACCCATTATCCTTGTGGCAGTTGTGCCTCCTTTTGCTGGAACCCCATCTGCCCCGCAGCTCAGAGGGCTATGCTATCCAATCGGCCCCAACTTCTGCCAGCCACAAGAAACCTGCATTGCTCATGAGTTTCCCAGGGCCAGATCCTGAGCTGGTGTAAGTTGGCGTAGCACCCCTGATGTCAGCGCATTTACACCAGCTGAGGAGCTGGCTCAGGCAAGACTGTTCTACAGAGTGCGTGCAGATAAAGGTTTCCAGGAATCCTTAATAGCTCTTAATCTTTCCTCCCAAGCCTTCCCTGCTACCTCCTTCAAGGTGGACACCACCACCATCCCTGCCTGTCACTGAGGGGGTGTAACACGGACATCATCTTCAGCTCAGACCGCACTCTAGGTCCTCACTTGCAGGTGGTCTAAATCTTGCCAGGTCTTCCTGCATTACATTTCTCGGATCTTGCCTACGCTTGTAGGGTACATGTGGCTACACGCAGCAGTAAAAGGCAGGCTGCTTCCACGCTTGTAACTACAGCATAGCAACCCACAGCAGTGAAAGGCTCCGGCAAGGGGAGGCAGTGGGGAAAGGCTCTGGCAGCCGGGAGACAGTAGGACATGACCCTGCTAAAACCAGCAGTGTAGACATGGGGGGCACGACTTGGGTGCGTAGAGAGCTGAGTAGGGCATATACTCTAGCAGGGCTAAGGCACGTAGGGGCACTCTGTTCACCTAAGCGGTGCTGTTTTTACCCGGGCTAGCTGCGTGTGCGGCGTCTGTTCTCTACACACCGGCATAAGTGTAGAGGTACCTTAGGATACAGTCTTTTCTATCCTTCCAGGCAGCCAAAAGAAACAGTCTGCGGAAGAGAAGAATGAGGGGGGATTTGATAGCTGCTTTCAACTACCTGAAAGGGGGTTCCAAAGAGGATGGATCTAGACTGTTCTCAGTGGTAGCAGATGACAGAACGAGGAGCAATGGTCTCAAGTTGTAGTGGGGGAGGTCTAGGCTGGATATTATGAAAAACTTTTTCACTAGGAGGGTGGTGAAGCACTGGAATGCGTTACCTAGGGAGGTGGTGGAATCTCCTTCCTTAGAGGTTTTTAAGGTCAGGCTTGACAAAGCCCTGGCTGAGATGATTTAGTTGGGGATTGGTCCTGCTTTGGGCTAGATGACCTCCTAAAGTCCCTTCCAACGCTGATATTCTGTGATTCTATGATCTCAGCCGCTGCAACACCATCTCTCTGACCTTGACAAATGCTACCGTGCCCTGCTTATATCTATTCAGAATGGTGCTGCGGGGATCATTCTCCTAGCCTGCCGCTTTGAGCCCCTCTCTTTGCAGCCCTCCACTGCCGCCCCCTTCTGTATCGCATCAATGTATGCTTGTCTGGACTTTCAAGGCCCTTCCCTGCCCTACCTACCATCTCTCATTCACTGCTGAGATGTCGATTCCCAACTCTGCTCAACCAATGCCAGCCTCCAGTGGCCACTCGTTACATTTTCAAACGAGCATCTTCATGCTTTCTCCCCTGCTGCCCCTCTTGCTTGGGAGGAGCTCCCTGTAAACCTTGGCAAAGCTACTTCATGATCTTCCTTAGGACTCTCATTTTCTGTGCTGTCTACATAAACACTCGACAGCGGCTAGGCTGCCTGCGGGCCAAAAACCACATCCCGGGGGTAGTCAATTATTTTTTGTCAAGGTCCAAATGTCTTGGTCAAGGTCCAGACCCCAGAGAAAATAATTTAAAAAACCGCAACAACATGGGTGGCAGATGAACGAGCTGTTGGGGGAGGCTAGCCCCTGGCCCCTCCTCTGCGGTCCAAGGCCCCATCCCTCCCCTTCTTCTCCCCCCCACCAGAGCCCAAAGCACACACCCTTGCTGCCGCCGGCCCCCCCCGGTGCGCCCCCAACCCCAGCGCGCCAGGTGGGCAGCCCAGCCCTAGCGCCCCCAGCCCTGGAGCACCCCTTACCCCAGCGCCGGGCAGATGGCGGCACGGCGTGGTCCCAGCCCCAGCATGCTTGCCCCAGCCTCTCAGCCACAGAAGGGCGCCAGGAAGGGAACTGGGAGCAAGCAGGAGGGGCTTGGGGGCTGGAGCGTGGGTGGGGCGTCACCAGGCTCTTTGTGCAGGCACAGCCTTCCCTGGCCTATGATACCCACTGCCCATGCCCAACAATAATGATAATAATAAAAAGATTTCGGGGTCCATTCAAAAGCATCTGGCCGTCCGGATTTGGCCCATGGTCCAAATCCGCCTGCTGACTACCCCTGTCACATCCTGTCATGCTGATCAATATTGTCTCAGTGTTTCCTTGTACTCCCCCATCTGTCTGCGTGTCCATCTGTTGTCTCTTGAGTTGTACTTAAATGGGAAGCTCTTTGGGGGCAGGGTCTATCTTTTTTTGTTTTCTGTCTCTACAGCACTTGCATGGTGGGGTCCTGGTCCATGATGGGGGCACCTTAGCCGCTATGGTAATACAAACAGTAACATGATCATTGGCACCAGAAATGAGCTTTGTGGGTAGGTGGCGAGGGGGACAAGAGGTGCGGATAGCCACTGGTATCACGTGGGGAACACCGCTGGGCTTGCGGCAATGCTCCTGCCTGTCCCCAGCTACTTCGCTCCAGCGATACCCCCTGCTCTATTTTAAAGCAATTTCTAGATCTCCGCACACATACCCCTCCTGTGGCAGGGGCAGCTGATTGTCCACAGTTTCTTGAACTGCACATTGCCACAAGGTGTCGTCAGTTACTTATATTGAGCAGGTCTATAGTATGAGCATATTTTACAGCTGTTTAGCCCAGGTGCAAGTGAGGACACCCAGGGCAAGCCAGTGAAAGGCTGCATTTTTCCACCATGGGGGGTGGAGGGGAGGGGGAGAGAGAGGAACCTTCTCCCAGTAGGTGGCGCTACAATCCGATGAAGGGAGCCGTAGCTCACGAAAGCTCACGCTCAAATAAATTGGTTAGTCTCTAAGGTGCCACAAGTCCTCCTGTTCTTTTTGCGAGTACCAACTTAGACATTTAACCCTGCAAATGGTGCTGTGATCCAGACTAGTTTTCAAGAGCACTTGCTCATCAGGGGGAGTTTGGTGGCCTCCCTGGGCTCTGATGCAGGCCTTTTGAAAAGCTGCTGTTTGTTTGCAGTGTGCAGCCCACTGTGGCAAGTGGAGACTGTCAAGAGTGGATTGGGGTCAAGGAGATCGGGTCAACTGAACGTCCCCCCAAGATGGCTGGGAACTCAGTTCCAACTGTTTGATTGCTCTGTACAGGGGACAGGATCCAGGCTTCTTGGAAGGAGAGGCTACTTGATGGCAAGCAGAAGCAAGCTGCCCTCGCACCGGGGCAGTTCTTTCTCTCTTACCCTCACCCCCAGGCCAGGTCCTTCCCGTTCACAATAACATCAGCAAAGACACCACCTGGATCATGGCTGTTCATTTTGGTGGCTTCTGTGTTTCATTGAGAGCTGCTACCACGAGACACAGATATATGAAGGTACAGGATACAACATCTCTGACCCAGCTGAGATATACTGGGTCTGAAGCTCCAATTTAGGTCATTTATGTTTAGGGAGAAATCAAATCCAATACACAGCCACAGGAATGGATGCAAATCTGCTGCCCTTCCATAGGTCCTTTTAATGGAAGATCTGAAAGCCCAGTACCCTTATGAGATAGGGAATCACCTCACTCACTACTGAAATGCAGCCACCACTGGGGTGGGTAAACAGTTCAGGTGCTGAACAGTTTCAGACAGGATGTGAAGAACACTATATTTGATTGAAACAATATGATAATCCAGGGGGTGATGTTTGGCCCGGGCATCTAGGATGCTAATGCCACTATCTGGATGCAAATACCAGTCCCCGCTTAGAGGGGGGTGGGGGTGCCCTCTGCTGACATCACGGGCACCCCTTCCTGCGGTGCCTGTGTATTTCATACAAGTCTCCCGTCCAAGTCCTGACCCATCTTGCAAGCCCTATTGTAAGCACAGTCCAACGTGATCTCACTTTGAGCCATACTGAGCTATTGCCCCACACTTACTCACTAGTAGCTTTTCTGCATTTAATGGAATAATGATCAAACATCTCTGAGTCTGACTGAAACCAATGAAAGGCAGGAAATTCCAGGGTAAGCAGAAAGGGTGTGGGGGAGAAAGGAATAAGATGTGATCTGAGGGGGTGCATGGGTGAAGCCAGTATTGTCACCCAGAGCAATGGTCAGCAACGAGTGAACAGCTGCCCTCCATGCAGGGAGCATTCTCTGTGATGACAGACTCCTGAATTCAGAATGCTGTGCCCACCGCAGCTAGTACTAATGCCCTGCGGGACTGAAACATAAGTGGGAAAAGTGAAAGAGGCAGAATGAGTGACTGAGAAACAAGCGAGGCTCAAAACAAGTGGCAGATCCCAAGACAGCTCTGCCCATCCTTGGGCATTTACACTGTCCTGGAGGGGATGGGGGCGCAGGCCAAACTAGATGTTCTTCCCATGCTCTGGAGAGAAGGTTCAGCACAGCTCAGTCAGCAACTCAGTTTGGAACCAGAGGGGTAAGGTTCAGTCCAAATCCTGACCCATCCAAGAAACTCAAAGTCATCATGAGCCCATCGCCACATTGTTTCCTGCTAACAAACCTGTGCTGTGAACCATGTTCTTGCACCAAAGTCCTGGATCAAATGCGAGCCTGGGGAGAGGCTTTTCCTATCAGAGCGGGGCGATCTTCGCTGTCCCTGTAGGCTGTTAAACTGACTGCTTAGTCCTCTGATGTAACTGTACGTGCCCACTAGGGGAGGCTATATGATCAAATGTAACAATCTTGGAACTTGGCTCATTCCCATGGGCACCTGTTGCACACGCTTCAGGAGGAAAGAAGCGGATAGTTTCTTCCAACACTCTGTTCCCATCAACCATTTTATGGGATCCCTCAGTAACTGGCTGGGGTGGGGGGGTCAGGACAAAGGGAACCCCCTTTCTTGTATTCCAGCCTTATAATTTATTTGTCACCTGGAGGGGCAGGAGGTTGAATCGAGGCACTTCTGGGCTTCCACTGTGATATCTGAGCATCAGCCAGCTACAGGAAAAGGGGAACAGCTGTACTTCAGCCACAGTGCTATGGCACGTTTCCATGGGCCCCAGCAACATATGCTGCCCTTCTCCTCCAACATAGACCCTGAGAGCAATCATAGTGATTGCTTAATGCTTTGCCATTCCATTGCACCTTCCATTCAAAGGATCTCAGAGCACTTCACAAACACTAATGAGCTAATTGGAAGCAGATAGGTCAGTAATGACAGCAGGATGATCCAGGAGTTAGAGCCACACATTCATGCATTCTCTAAAGATTCCAGCTTTGGACTGGCAAGGAGTCTGGCTTGAGAATGCTTCTGAGCCCTTGTGCAACTCAGATCCCTTTTCTTGCATTGGCAATTAGGCAGGTGAATTTTGCCACCCTTGTGAAACCTACCCTGGAGGGGGAGAAGGGAGGATATTGCCCCAGAGGGATCCAGGCTTTTGCCTCATGGCTATAATTACTTTATTCCAAGGGGAGATCTCTCTCTCTCTCTGAGGGCTGCATACAGTTGTCAGCCCAGGAGAGGTAAACCTAGGGCGTTCCTCCATGCAACCTGCACCATGAGGGCAGAGGCACCCATGGTATAGCCACCATTAATACACACACGGGATGTTTTATGTACTGCTCGCAATGACAGGTGTAAACACTAAGGGTTTGTCAGCTGCAGCAGTTGCTACTGGCCGCTGAACTGCTAGGAGAGACACAGAAACAAGCCAAAACAAAAACATGCAGCCAACCGCTAAGCAAGAATTAATGAGCCTTGCAGTTCACTCTGAAGGCCGCCTGGCTCGTGTGCTGGCGTACCACCAGGAAAGCGGATTCCAAAGGTGGTGATTTCACTGAGAACGCCTGGGCCAGGGAGTTCAATAGAATGAAAAGCAGGTAAACATACCCACTCAGGTGGAAGAGAGAGAAGCTTAGGTCTGAGATGAGGCGGGTTGAGGGCCTCCTGCCAAGGCAGACAGAGATAAGGTCACTTGGGACTGAATGCAGTCCACATGGGAAGCCTGTTGGATTAGCCCCTTGGAGGTCATGCAGAGAGCGATTGGTGTATTTCTTGGGGTTCACACTGAAAGTGGCACCAGAAGAACTTTGCAGAAGATACTGGTAAAGCTCCTATTAAAGTGGTGTTGATAGGCAGCCGTAAGTCTGTGGGCTAGTTTGGATTCCTATTCTGGCAGGCGCTTTCCAGACACAGAGACATGGCCCTTGCTCTGAAGCACTTGGAACCAGAGCAGCCCGACAACGTACAGGCGGTGTGGGATAAGCCAGAAGAGCTACACATTCTACCCTCCCTGAAATATCAACCCTCCCATGACCCTGTGACCCAGACACTGACCGCAGGCTAACTCCTTGTGAGGGTAGGTCGAGACTGCAATCAGGAGGTGGAATTGCGGCTAGATCAAAGCTAGCTTGTGTTACAAAGAGCGCTGAGGCATCAGTAGCCCAGGCAGCGTGTACCCTGGGTACACACTCAAGCCGCTGCCCCAGAGTCACTGTTGCTGTTACTCGAACTAGCCTTGATCTCCGTCGATTGGGTATGTCTGCACATGCTGGAGTCACCCTCCTGACTGCAGTGTAGATATGCCCCAAGTGTCACTTAACTGGCCCTTGAAGGAGGAGAGGGCCTGAGGGGGGAGTTCTGCTAGGGCTTTCCATGAGGAAGGGGCAGAAGACACAAAGACAGCTGTGAGAGATGCCGACCAACAGGGGCTCAGCGTTGGCGTTGCTGGCGGAGCAGAGGTGGGGAGCGATGGGACGCAGCCAGGAGCCGATCAGTGGGGAAGGGCAGAGTTGTGAGAGGCCATGACCAAAGGACAATACATTTAAGCTGCGTGTGGTGGAAGAGGAGTCAGTGGAGCTGGAGGGACTCCGCAAGGGGTAGGGTCGGAACCACAGGCTGAGAAGAGGCTCTCAGCGGCTGGGTTTGAAGCAGATGGGATGAGGGCGAGGTGGGTGTCCCGGTGGAGATTACAGTAGTCAGGATGGGAGAGGAGGAGGGCCTGGGAAAGATTTTTAGTGGGGCGCACAGAGAGAAGAGGGTGGATCTTAGAAGAGTTATGGAGGAGGAAGCAGCAAGCCTTGGACAAGGTCTGGATGTGGAGGAGAAGGAGGAGTCACAGCTCTGGAACTGGATGGCAGGAACCTGGTCAGGACAGAAATATAGCTCTGCAAGTCAGCATACAGAGAGGGTAGCTGAGATCATGATGGAGAGGCAGCTAGCCAGAGACTGGAGGAAGGCAGCAGGCGGCTCTCATCGGGCAGCAGTGACTTATGGTAATGAACAACTCCGTACAGATTGGAGAACTACGGGCCAGTGATGGTATATAGTTTATAGCTAGCCTGTAGTTTGTTAAGGGCTTTGAGCTCACTGGATGCAAGGTACTATCATATAGACTGCAAGTGTGAAGGGTTATTAGCACCCTCAATGCCTCTCATTGAGAAACAGAGTTGAATCTTACAGGTAGTGGCAGAGTGAATGAGAACAAAATCTGGTCATCGTGAAGGGCTCCTTGTTCATTTCCCCCTGGGGGAATGGATTAGCATCTCCAGTGTCACAGTAATGGAAGAATGGGCCGGGGGAGGGACAGGACAGGGGACTCCCTAAACCCTTGCCCGAGACATTTTTAACTGATTCCAGGAATTTTCTCCAGCCGGGATATTATAGTGTGTGTGCTTCCAAAGATTTCCGTGAGGAACTGGTTAAAAACAAGTCACTGGGCTCTGTGTCTAGGCTTTTGTCCCATGTTCATCACACTGGTAGCAGACTACCCAGCTGACCAGAGGAGTATCTGCATTACTTCTTAGCGGTAACCCCACGGCACCTTTGCATATACCCTCCCCCCGCCCCCCAGTCTTTTGTCTCTTGCTCTCCTTACCACAAGTTTTAAGAAAACAAGTAAGGTGCCCGGGTGCGTAGGGGGGTTCTAGGAAGTGGAACATGCCTCTCCCAGCACTGCTGCTGCAAGGCTCTCTAGAGTGGAACTGAGATAAGTGCCACACACCCGTAACTGCCACAGTGCCACGCACAACAGGGAAACAGGCCACAGGTGACCAGTGCAACTGTGCCGGGGTGGCCGAGAACCCCCACAAGAGCTGGCAGGGCAGTTTTGCCATTGCTGATCTTCGTCGCTTTAAAACACTCGCCATAAGCATCCAGGGAGGGACCAGCCAGCGCAGCCATCTTCCGGGCAACTTTCCCCACTCAGGCCTGTCTGTGCACATCCCTCCCAACCGGCAGCAGCCCCTGCTGTTCCAGCCACGGGGCCCCGGTGCACGGCTCTGCCATTACACCTCAGTCCTGACATGCAGCCCCTTCAGCTATTCCAGGGCTGGGCCTCCTGAGCAGACACTGCTCGTCATGTCTTATTATTGACAAATATCCCCTGAAGACCAAACTAATTCATTAACCCTTAATGCACGCCCCAGCTCTCCACACACCCCTGATCCCTCCACCCACACTTAACTCACACACTATTTTGGGGGTGCAATGGGGGAGTCAGGAAGGATTCCGGACATTTCCTAACCCTCTCCTCTGCTGGATCAGCACTACGCCATGCATTCCTCTCTCTGGAGGTTTACCGGGTTTCATCCTTCATTGAATGGAACCTCTCAATAGTCCAGTCCCAGTGAGGAATAGGACTCCTCTTACCGGAACACAGTACGTGGGGCGGGCTTAGGTCACACACATATAGTGCTGGCTCAGGTTTCTTGTCATCCCCAGGCCCCTATGCACACTGAGTTCATCTGTCTGACAAAGGTCCTTGGGTGCGTCTCTGGGGCTGCATCGGTGAAAAGCTGCTGACGCCTGTGGAACGTGTTTTATTTAGAAACAAACCTGCCCCCATCTCATTTCTTTCCAAACGTTGCTACCCACTGCCCTTGGCAGAGAGGATGCTGCTCGGAGAGCTAGATTGTTCGTATCTGAAAGTATATCTTTTCATGCTGGTTATTCTCAGGAGAAGGTCAGGGAGTTTGCATGCAGCTCCGGGAAGCACTGGGCTGTCTGGAGGGGACACAGTGTGGGACACCCCTCCATAATGGCGCAAGCAGCTCACTCTCAAAACAGAAACAGAGAGATGCTGGTTTCTCCCTGGTTCTTTGCTGTCCAAACCAATCCTGGAATGATGAGCCCTTGAATCAGGATCTAAGCCACCCCTTCCCCCAATTCTGTCAACTCCTTCCCTCTTCCACTCCAGGATGCCAGCTGGGCCGGTTAGGATAACAAGCCCCAGCTGCACTCACTCCACAGGCAATTAGGCTGTGGTTTTAGGGGCCTACCTGGGACCTGATTTGCAGGAAGTGCTGTTCATTTGCTGCCCCCATCAACGACAACCCGTGGGGCGGATGTGTGGCCTGTCTGAAAACCAGGCCCAAGGGGTCTCAGGTTGGATTCCCCAAAATTGACACCACCCAACTTAGTAGCCATTTTTTTTTTACCTTAACTCCTTCCTGTCTGGTTCCAAACTTCTGCAGGAACTTCTGGGGAAACTGAGTGTGGGGCCTTGGCTCTACCTAGCTTCATGCTCAGCCCCATCTTGTGACCCAGATGTGTTGTGTACCCTGCCACAGGGGACTGATGCCAGCTCAACCTCTGACCTGTCAGGATACAGATGAATAAAGATTAGCAGCAGCAACTTAGAGCCTGTTCCTGAGAAACCAGCCTAGTACTCTCCATATTCTAAGGCAACACTTACAACTCCCTGCAAAAGCACTTCACTCCCCTGCCAAAGAGCAAAGCAAACCCCAAGGAACTCAGGGCTTCCAGCTAATCATTGAATCCTCCCGCCCACTTGTCCACAACACGTTCAGGTCTTATACATCACAAAACCAGCTGCATTCTCCTGCTGGGTGACCTTAGCAGGAAGGAGCAAAGCATGTGATGGGCCCCCGGGAGACAGAATGGGAAAGGCGGTTCCTTGGCAGGCTACCTAGATGCTCCCAGTGCAGAGGACCCAGCTCAGCCCTGGAATAACTTCAAGGCAGTTGTGTCTGCTGAGGCCAGCCCATTATCCAATCCGGTGATTCACCATCCAACTTGCTGAGCGCAAGTCTCTGGAATTCTGACCCTGCTGGCTAGAGCCTCCAGGTTCTCCTCCTGTCCAAGCGCCCATGTGAGCAGTTGGATTAGCCAATTGCTGATTCTGGGGCACGTATACTGCCGCTGTAAATACTAGGCAACCCAGGAACCATCCATCCACTACATGCACCAGGCATACTAGGTACCACAGGGGGCCCCTGGCAGCCAAAGGCGTTGACTACCATCAGCAAGGCAGGGAGCATGTGCCACTAGGTATGATTGACAGCATAAGAGCCTCATGCACACTGAACGTACCAGGTACAGTTGACAGAGCAGGGGGTTTGTTATCTGCTAGATACAAACCACATTGTAGGTGGCACCCCAGGGACATTCACCAAAGCCCTTATCCCTCTCCACAGCTGGCCACCTGAATCAATCTGGGGAGCACTACCCTGTGTTTCTTCTCCTCTTTGCAAATTACATATGCCTCAGAACCTCTGCTGGTTCCTCTGCCCTGAGCTAGAACCCAGTGGGCTAATAGGAGATATAGGGTAAAGCTGTTAGGAGACAAAATAAACGCAATGGAAGGGCACAGCTGCACTATGATTCATCCATTTAAAGCACAGATTGCAAACACTTTGTGCTAAGGAAGCCAAACAGCATTTCCCAGCAGCCATTCTGGCCCTGCTGCAGCAGAAATCGTAATGCAATAATAATAGCTTGGATTTCAATAGCCCTGATCAGCTGAGGATCTCAAAGCCCTTTACATATATTGATTCATGAAGCCTCACGCTGATGAGGCAGGTTCAGGATGCACCATAATAGCAGCAAATATCTGCAGTGGCTAGTGATGGGACACGAGATAGGGAGGGCTCTGAGTTACTACAGTGAATTCTGTCCCAGGTGTCTGGCTGGTGGGTCTTGCCGACATGCTCAGGGTCTGACTGATCGCTGGATTTGAGGTCGGGAAGGAATTTCCCCCTGGGACAGATTGGCAGAGACTCTGGGGTTTTTTTTGCCTTCCTCTGCAGCACAGGGCACGGGTCACTTGCGGGTTTAAACTAGTTTAAATAGTGGATTCTCTGTAACTTGAAGTGTTTAAATCAAGATTTGAGAACTGCAGTAACTCAGCCAGAGGTTAGGGATCTATTACAGGAGTGGGCAGGTAAGGTTCTGTGGCCTGCAATGTGCAGGAGGTCAGACTAGATAATCATGATGGTCCCTTCCGGCCTTAAAGTCTACGAGTCTGTGCACGTGGGTCACGTCCCTCATATCTGGGCTGGAACCCAGAGCATAGCAACAATACAGGAGGGGAAGAGTAATGGGGGACCCAATGGAAGCTGGCATTTTAGGGAGGTACACTGTAAACAGATTGGAACTGTGGGACACCCAGGTTACTGTCTCATGAAAAGCACCATGAGATCCACCAGTGCTCAGGACCTGGGCTTTCCATCTCCTGCGAAACCCATCACTTCCCTAATATCGCGCTGGGGCATTGGCTCCCTGGGGAGAGCACCACCTGAATGCCTACCACTTCCTGCCAGAGTCAGGGGCTCCTTGGAGATCTCCCTTCCAAGCACAGACCCACCCTGGCCCTCAGGAGCGGCTCTAGGCACCAGCAAAGCAAGCCCGTGCTTGGGGCAGTACAATTCCAGGGGCGGCATTCCGGCCACCCTTTTTTTTTTTGCTTGGGCTGTTGCGCTCTCAGAGCTTGGGGTGGCAAAAAACCTCGAGACGGCCCTGCTGAGGAGCACAAGGTAACTCAGCGGCAGGTCACCACTCATAGTCAAATAGAGGGGTTTTTTTTCTCATGCAAATAATTTCATTGCAGATTATGCTGTTCCAACCACTGTAGCAAGGCACTGGCTGGGCTTAGACTATGTGACCTAATAGGCCTCGTTCATCCCCAAGGGCTGTGGACTAAACCCTGAGGCTCTGACTGCTTTTACTCCGACAAAACTTTCAACAGCTTCTGCTGGAGTTTTCCCTGCAGAAGGACGGTGGGATTTGCCTCTGCAATTCTAAGATCCAGAGGGAAGGTTTCAGTGGTTCTCTGTATAGCGAAAGCCAGGGTCAAAGGCAAGGATTTTGGATGCACCCGCATAGGCTCAGTGCCCAGCCCAGCCCTGTATGTCTTCACTGCAAGTCCCACAGCTGGAGGGAGGTTTGGGTTACACATTAGTGAGGCCACATAGGGCCTCCTGAAAGTCTGAGACACTGCCTCCCCCTTTTTCTAAGCACTCAGCAGTTGCTTGGCTTTGGAGTTGTCTTAGTCAGGGAAAACTCCCACAGGACTAAGTGAGGACTTGCAGGAGTTGGTCAAATAATATTTGCAGCCAAATCTACTAAGTTAAAAGGTATCCGAGTTCATGCCTCAGGGCATCAGCTGAGTGCTTCAGGGGTCAGGAAAGTAACCTTTCCCCCAGGCACGGAGTGGAATGAGCATGGAGGTGGCATTGTTTTTCCTGCCTTTCTCTTTGAAGGAACATCTAGGCCCCAGCTTGGAGGCTGAATACCAGACATGGTGGGCCATCGGTCTGACCCGGTCTTGCTATGCAACGTTGCCATGTTCCAAAGCAGGAGAAAGTTAATCACTGTCAAGGGGAATCAGAAATGCACTTAGGACTTTGTAATGGTGGCTCGGCTCCAATGGTCCAGCATATGTCAGCTGGGGTATTGTTTATCTCATTAGCTCTGCCTAGCACCAGGGTGAATTTAGCTCCATCTGCAGATGCTCCTTTTGCACTGGGTTGGATGGAATAGCTCTTCTCTCTGTAAAGTGCTTTGGGATCCTTTGCAATCAGAGATGCTGTAGTATGGTGAAGAGCAACTGACCTGCAGAGCTCCTGCTTGTGCTCCTCCCATGGCAAACTCTTCTCTGAGTTCCCCTGGCAGAGCTGTCACAGAGGGATGGGCTAGCCTGGGTTCCAGTCCAAGCCCCTCTCTTCAGTAGCGCAGAGATGCACATCACCTGAGTTGGTGTGTTCTTCTCCCAGGTTTGTATGTGCTTACAATCTTTGGGGAGAAAAAAAGATACAAAGAACAAACAGACGGGACTGATAAGGCCTGACAGATGTTCTCTGCACAGACACCAAGCCCTGGAGCAGTTATTTACTGTTCCGAGAGGAATCTAGAGAATTATGAGACAGTGTTTAAACTGGGGGAAAGTTAAAAGCAATTGAGTTTCCTATGGGCAGCTATTTGAATAAAGGCAATACACAGTAAAGGAAGCCACTGGATGAGCCATGGTGAGGGGCAGGAAGGAGATTTCTCCGTGGAGCAAGCAGTCCTACGTGGTAGGGGACTGTGAAACTCAGTGGGGATATATTGAAACTGATGCAAAGTAATGTACCCCCCCCAAGCTGTCCTGCCCCAGAACACAGACCCTCAAGGCCATTCGAAGTGAAATAGCTGAATGTGTGTGTCAATACCAAGGGCGCAGACGTTTCCCCTGGAAATAACAGCATCTGGGAACGGGGTTACGCAATGCTAGCAGCCGTCAGAGTGTCAGCTTCTGTGACCTCATGCCCACAACAGCCTCCATTGGTAGGGCATTCATCGGAGAATGAGGAGATGCAGGGACGTCAGCAATGGGAATAAAAACAATGAGGTTAGTCTAGCAAGACATCTGATCCATAGCCACCACCCCTAGGGCTGCGGCAGGACTGGTCCCGACAGCACAGTCCCTACGGCACGGGCCAGTCTAGTTTCAGAAGAGGATGGTGGTGGCCACAGGGTTAGGGAGTCCACTCTAATGACCCCTGCTGGGGGCAAACCCAAAGGCCAGGTGGGATTTTTCCCCCTTAGTCATTCATATTGCAGCCTAGCTAAACACATTAACTCTTTCCATGCCCTCCGAGAAGTGGGGGTGCCATGGTTCCAACAAGACTGGCTTCCATGTGGTCCCTTGGGACATACTATGTTCCACCAACAGTCATGGTCCTATGTTAAAGCAGGCAGCCCCCTGCCTGGGCTCAGCATTCAGCACTGCAGGGGTTAAACAGAAGGGGGCTGCACAAACCACCAGTGTGGGGACCACTGCAACAGGCTACGGAGCCCCACATCCACCAAGGTGTTTGAAGTCAGTGGAAGTTAGGGGCCTCTAAGTTGAGCTGTGGCCCCTCAGATCATGTGGGCAAACCCAGCTGGCCGGGGGGGGTGCCGGGGGGGCAGCTAGGGAACAGCAGGGACACCATCTCCCGGCAGCAGTGACGGTAATCCCATGCATGGCCAGCGGCCGGTTGTGCCATGCCACAGGAAGTGGCTGAAAGGAAGCAGAGCAGGAGCCAGGCCAGGATGGGAAAGGCTGGACCCAATGGGGCTCCCCTTCTATTCAGCCAAATGTTTCTCTAAAGAAAAAACAAGTTGTAAGAAGTTCCCCCTGGCAAAGGCAAATTCCGGGTGTTTCTCTCCCCTCCTGCAGCCCCACACAGCCCAGCAGACCTCAGCCCAGCTAACCAGCTGGATATCCCTAGCCACAGCAGGGAACTAAGATAGGCACAGAGCCACCCATAAGTCATCCGATCCCCTCCCCTCGCCCAGCTTAGAGTACTAGCCCTCTTCTTTCCCGCCCCCCCTCCCGCCCCCAACAGAAGACCTGGGGTGAAATCCTGACCCCACTGAAGCCAAGGCAAGTTCTGACACCGACTCCAATAGGACCCGAATTTTTACCCATGATTGTCAATGGCAGCGGGGAAGCTGGTGCAGCCCCTGGAGTTGAAGTGAGGGCTGTCAGATGTGGCGCACACGATACGTAGCATGCCCAGGGACGCTGAGACACAGAGCGCACCCATCTCGGCAGGCCACACAGCCATTGTGAAATGCACGCTGCCTGGAAAGCGAATGATCACTCTATGTCCTGAACACTGGATTGGGGCTATCAATCAGGGGTTTCAGGCAGATCCAACCTGCTAAATCAACATTTCCCCAGGAGCCCTCAGTGAGAGAAAGCCATCGGAGGGATCCAGAGTCCACTAAGGGAGGGGAAGTGGATGGGGAAGGCAGCTGACATCCGTACACAGGGCTGGGTCTGGTGGAGGGGCTGGGAAGAGGGTATTACTTGCTCACCCTCCCTCCCACTGCACCAATTGCTTCCCCCCCCCCCCTTGCTCCCACCTTCAGGCCTCAGAAATAACTTGACCGGCACTGTCAGTGGGTTAGGACCGTGCCATGCTCTGCCAGGCGACCGTCTCCTATCTAGCTCCCTTTGAAGTCCATGGCAACCTTCCCATGGATTTCAAGGGGGGGCTGGTCCTTGGTGAAGCAGAGGGGTGCACTGGGAGAGGTTGGAGGTGTAATTACTGACTGGGTGCCAAAGGGCAAATGCAGAGCTGGACGAAGCAACATGTGAGTCAAGCCCAAAGTTTGCGTACTTTCCAACGATGGTGGAGATGAAGAAGAGGAGGAGGGGGATCAAGCCAATACTGGGTGAGTCCCAACACATATTAGAAGGAAAAGGAGAAACTTCTAAAGGATCAGGAAGAAACAGCAAGTACAGATGGGGGGGGCCGCCTCACAGCTGCCCCCATTAGTAGAGAGAATAGGGGATGTGGAAGTCAGAGAGCAATAGAACAGAAACTGGGGCCAGAATCCACCCTTGGATGCTCCTACACCTGCTAGTCCCCTCACCACCTGGAGGCGCCAAGAGGGAAAGCCCAAGGAGGGCTGGCTAAGTCACCTCACATGGGTGAAGTGATGTGGCTGATAGCTGGGTAAATGCACTGTGCTGACCCCTGCACTGGGCGTATACTCGCCCCTCCAGCTGCTCTGGGGGCCGGTACAAATATGAAAGCCTCATTACACCCAGGAATGATCCTCCATGCAGGTGGCACAGTAGGGTTCCCACATCACAGTGGGAGCCACCGGCAGAGCCAAGGACAGAACCCAGGAGTCCTGATTCCCATTCCCATGCTCCTGCCCATAACAGTGTTTTGTATTCATTTCAGTGTCTCCTGCTAGAGCGAGACATGCTCCCTCCCACAGAGGTACTCGTAAGTTGCTGTTACAGGGCTGTTTTACTGTTGTATGACTCTGCACTATTGATGTGAATTTACTGCTTGCAAAACGGAACTGACATCAGAGAAGCATATTTAAATTTAAACCAACACCCTCCCCCACACCAACGCCTTCTGCCTCTTATTGCTTGTAAAAAAAGTCACCCTCTGGGTTCCTCAGTAGGTGCAATGCACACTATTTACTGCAAGTGTTGGACTGAGTCCTTTAAAACCTCCTCATCTTCCAGTTAAGTCAGGGAAAGCAACCTGAGCTCACTATTGGTCACAGCGCCGATTGACGCAGAAATGAAACGTTTCAATACCTGATTTGCTGAGTGAGCGCTGGGTGACGAAGAGACGGGAACTTGCCGTCTCAGTGATCCAAGACCTCTGACGTCAGCCTGCTTGGGAACTAGGCAATCCTGGACTGTGCTCTGCAGATACTGTAAATACACCACTTCCCAAGACCCGCAAGGGCAAGTGGAATTTTTAAAATGGGACGAGTGACCAAACCAAAGGCCAAGTGCCTTTCAATGCAGGATGTGCTTAGTCCTTCCCAGTGAGGGCAATCCATGTTGCATCACTTTGGTTTCATCATTCACTAATCCCTTTGTTTTAGGCTGCCAAAGAGCCAGGCCACAAGGCAGCTGGATGTGGATCATAAATTCTATACTTTGTTCTCGAGGAGAAAGGAACAGTAACTTTGTTCCTTTCCTCCTCAAGCCAATTATAATGGAGGCAGCCTGACACCTCAATCAGGCAATTACCATTAGCAACAACATATGGTGCTGCATAGTAAGGTTTATACAACTCCTGTTTGCCAATGGCTTCCATTAAAGCAACGTTGGGATAAAACAAGACAGCACACAAATTAAAGAGGCTAAACCTTGGAGATGATTAGGACCAGATAAAGCAGGTGAATCAATCAGTGAGACCTAGGGAGACTTTGAAATGATGAAAAGGACTTTATACCTTCTTTAAATGCAGCCGAGTTACTATTATTCCTACCTAATGTTTCCAGAGAGACACAAGAAGCCAAGGCCCTGGCCAAGCAGAGCTCACAGGATCAGGCCCCAATCCTGCAGCTGGATCCACATGGGGCTGTGCTTGGGCACAGAGGTCCCTCTGCAGCGTCGGGGACTAAGTAGCTCTTAGCATCTCCTGTAATTCATATCCAAACTCGAATGGGAGAGACTTGAAGGATCTGCCCCTTAGCTAGGAAATGGCTGGAGCTGGAAGGATGTGCTGGGTGCTCCATCTGCACATTAAGCAGTCCCCTTGGCTTCAGAATCTCCACCTCCAGCCCTAGCTACAGAATGGGGCTGGATTTGCCTCGCTCCAGATCTGCAGCCATGGCAGGGCAGATATTCTGCCCTCTGAAACCTACTCCCTCAATGGCTCACCGGTTCCTGAAGGTCTGGGGGAGGCTGCTATAGGGGTAGGGACACCCCTACACCTGAAAGAGGGGAGCAGTCAGACAAGCCAGATGCACAGGCAAAAGAGAACAGAGCCTGTGTCTAAGTCAGGCAGCTGAGGATGCAGGAGGAGGCGACCTCCAGGCAATATGTCAGGGGCCAGACGGGCACCGCAGCTCAAGGAAATGATCTGATTCCCCAGTTTGATGAAGACATTAATGGAAGCATCTCTAGACACCCATGGGAGACCTCAATCACACCGGTGCCAATGTCAACAGGTTTGACCCTGTGCATGTGCTATGAAGCCAGAGGAATCTAAAGGGCCAGTGTTTGCTCTTCGATGTTCATGTTCATGACGTTAGAGACGGCAAAGTCCCCTTAGGTCCCATCTCACCCACACCCCAGCAAGTGCATTGATCTAACATCTTCTGTTTATCACATTCATTAGTGTGGCTTTGCACAGACACCTAAGGGTTATCGAGGAAGGATTTCAAAAGCATTTAGGAGCACAAGCCCCCCTAGCTTGGTAGCTTTTGGATAAAGATGCCCGTAGGCCAGCAAAGGGTGTTCTCTGTATGGTCTCACAGGCTGGGCTAGATCCATGGACGCAGCCATTTCCCGCACACTGGATCAGTGAAGTATCTAACTTGTGTTTGCCAAGTGTGTAAAGCTGAGCATATGGATCTGCTGCCACAGCACAGCATCTGTTCCTTGGCATTCAGCTTCTACCTTCCCAGAAACCCAAGAGCACATCAGCAGCACCACTCACTCTAACAAGAGCCAGTCTGCACCAGATCTGTCCTGATGGGAGTTTGTTGCTTCAGCACAAACTGGCTTATTCTTTTGCTATTCTTGTTTTTTTGGGGGGGTGGGTGGGAGGAACAGCCCTCAGGGTGAGATTTCCTTGTTAATTAACGAGACGGAGAGATCAGCAGATAGTGCACATAGGAAGAGACAATAACTAAAACTGGGCAAAACCAGAGAGGGTTGAATTTAATTGTCAGGCCAATTAAATCTAGATTTGTGCATTCCCTATGGATGACTGGCTCACTGTTGTGTAATTGCTTAGCCTCAAGATCCTGATGGAGAGATATTCAAATCAGACACTTAATAAAGCAACCTGGTGTAAAGAACTGATGTAAAGAGCTGCTCTTTGCATTGCACAACAACTCTTACTGGTTGCACAAAGCCCAGGAGCTAGGTTGCATGTTCCTCAGTGTGATCTACTGACACCTTCTCTATTTATGTATGTGTGGTTATGGAGCATTCTTGTAACACCTGGTCCTGTGTAACTCATCAGCTGCTCTCTCCATCCTGCCTGCCCTGCCCTGTGGCCAAGGACCAGGGCCTATAGCTGGCTGGCATTTTGCTTTCCAGGCTGCCTGGCTTGGGAGGACCACGGAGACAGCATGCTGAATCCCGCACACTCACCTCTCTATTTCGTTTGCAGATGTTGTCAGTAGCAACTGCAGCTAATCCCATGTAGCCCTCCTTGGCCGTGACACAGGGGACGGGAAGTGGGAACTAGCAGAGGGTATCTTCAAAGCACCAACGTGAACACCAAGGACAACCCTCTGCCGTACGTAGCTCTCTTGACTGCTGCAATCTTGTTTCCAGCGTACTGCAACTCTGCGTTTCTGGGAGTCGGCTGCCTGTCATGACGCTGCCATTTTGCGAGGCTGAAGAGATGTACACGTGACCCAGTAGGCAGTGTCCACCACAGGTGCCTGTTCGTGTCTGCTCCGCAGAGAATACGAGTTTGTTGCAGCCCCAGATAGGCAGGGCTGGCTTGTAGCTCAAGCTGTAGTAGCTCATGGTTTTATCTCTGGCGGGCAACAGTTCAATCTTTGATGTGCCAGCTGTGCCCAGAGGGCAGTCACACACACACACACACGCAGAGTGCTCTCTCGTAGAGACTTTCTTGCTGTTAATCTAAAGTAAAAGCCATTCACACTGAATGTATATGGAAAACCAGAACGACTCTGATCCGGCTTTACCGCCAGATTTCAAATGGTTCATTCATTGTACCACGTATTACCTGCTGGCATGTCTACCACTTGGAGCAGGAGAAGGAAGGGGTAGCTAGGGAGCTCTTTCTGTGGCCCCAATTAAGCGTGTGCTTAGCTTTAAAACACATGTTTAAGTCTATCCCATTCAGCAAAGAACTTAAGTATGTTTTTGAGTGCTTTGCTGAAACAAGGACTGATCCTCCAAGGTATTTAAGCTCCTAACTCCTGTTGTGGTCAACGAATTCAGTGGGAATTAGGCACCTAAATACCTTTATGAATTTGGGCCTCTGTGCATTGAGGACTATTTAAATAAATCTTCAATAAACAGCTAATGGCTGTGTCTGCCTGAGGTTGCGTATTCATGTACGGTCCCCAGGTCTGTCCCCACTCCTTCTGAGGGAGGTGGTTTCAGAACTGTGATGGGGATGGTCAGGCCTAGTGGTCAGATCCAGGGTCAGCACTGGAATCAGGAGTCCAGAACAGGGTGGAACAAGGCAAGAGCAAGGCTGGAGCAGGACTAGGAATAGGGCTGGAGCAGGCTAAGGCTTGTGGAGTATGTTGCCACGATCAGGCAGGGGAGAATTCCAAACCCTGGAGCGACATTGAGCAGACTGGAGTCCTGTGAGGCTTATATATTTGACTTGAGAGTCACCAGACCAGATCGTGGCTTGTGGATTGGCTGTAGCCTAACACAGGAATGACCCATCAGTGCATGTGGCTTAATCAAGCTCTGGTTCAGGGATGACTCATCACCTTAGAGGTAGGGCCATACAGGCCTCAATTAGTAGAATGAGGATCCAAGGGGAGAATGAAAATCCCATTGCTTGGCAAATTTAAAAGTAGACTGAACAAGAAACTAATAAATCGACACTAGGAAGCAATCCTGAACTGGCCTGGAGGTGCCCTGTGACTTAATCAGGCTTTTTCATCTCTAGATTTTATGATTCTTTGTTCCTTGGGAGATTTGAATGTGGTGTTTTGCAAAGGACTGCAAGTTTAAACATTGGATGACAGGTTGATAAACATGTTTTCTGCTGTCCCTGATAGTGGACAGGATTCTAGCAGGAATATTGAGCTGTATGCAACCAATTTATCTGAATAATTTAGTCCTTTGCCTGTCCGCAAACTACCCACTGAAACAGTGAGTTTGTTATTTGAAACTGTTTGACACACTGTATCTGCCAACCATTTGTTGCCTATGGGTTGTTCAGCACCTTTGCTTTTGACTACTTGCTCTTCATTATTCCTAGCATGTGACTGGTCACCTAAGGTACGCGGTATGGATTCTGTTCTTCACTGAACCAACCCTTACAAACTAATTGTGATGCTGGCAGACCAGGCGCCAGCTCATGCCAAAGCCCCGGACCAATTCACTTATAGATCAAAGTGAGTGCTAAATGTTTGAGAGTGTATTCGGTGTTTAAACTTCATGAAGACGAATGGGATGTTACATGCATTGTTTTTACTTACTATATCCTGTTATAATGTAATAGCAAACATTTACATTGAATACACCCCTGTAACTAAATAACCCATCAAACAAGAAAGAAGCCTTGTGTAATGCAAATGAAGTGCTAATTCTTGCACCTTTGGAGGCAAGTGGTCATTGTGTGTGATGATCAGAGATCACAGTCTCTAAACACACTCCCCTCTCTCTGCCAACCAAAGAAAGAGCCCACCTGGGTGGTAACCCTGTCAGCTTGTTTTCTGTGAGAAGAAGCTATAAGTATGGACTCAGGAAAAGATCCTGCATCTCTGGACTGTTTGGATTCTAACAGGGGTGGACTAACCAAATGAGAAGAGAGAGATCCCCAGAGTTACTCTGGATAGCCCTGAGAGACTTGGGAAACTGGCAGATTACTACATCGCTGCTACCATTTGGCATTCTAGACTGTGACTCACCTGTACATATATTTTACCTGCTTTAACCTCTCAATAACTCTAATTTCTTTTTCTTTGCTAATAAACCTCTAGTTCGTTTACTATCGAATTGGCTACTAGCAATGTCTTTGATGTGAGATCTCGGATGCAATTTGACCTGGGTGAGTGACTGGTCTCTTGGGACGGGGAGTAACCTGGAATATTTGTGATTTTTGGTGTAAGTGACTATTTATCACATAGTCCAGCTTGCCTGTGTGGCAAGATAGACTGGAGTGTCTAAGGGGACTGTCTGTGACTCCATGATATGACTATTGTAATACTTTGGGAGTTCACATTTGGGACTGGGCTGATGAAATCTAATTATCGAACATACCACCAGTTTGGGGTATCTGCCCGGCTTTTGACAGTCTGTCCTGAGGTTGGCATTCATGGTCGTGAGCCACTCCAGACAGCATGACACTAATCATCCTGCTTTCGCTCTGGACAAATGTTGTTCCTTGATTAAATGACTCACGATTAGAACTGGTCGGAAAACAAAATTCAAGGTCTGTGAAAAAAATGGAGTTTGGGGGATTTTTTTCACACCAAATTGGTACCTTACAGCATCAGCTCATGAGCAAGGAGGATTTGAGCCCAATGGCAATATTGTATCAACTACACCATTCAGGGAAGCTTCACGTCTTTTTTTTTTCTTATGAAACTTCCTGGCCACTAGCATCTTGAGCTGTCTAAGAGAATACAAGGTATTGCAATGTCATTAAGCTGCCATCAGAGAATCCGTCAATCAGAGAAGAAAATGTATAAGAGAAATCCAAACAAACCTCCCACCCTGGACAATCGCAAGCCACAAATGCTCCAGCCAGTGTGCCTTGATTTAAATCAAAAGCACTCTAACAACACCATGTGTCTTTAACCATGTACCAAATGCCATCAGCCTCTGAGTGAATCCAATTCCAGACCCACTGCACAGCCCCAATGCTATGATGACATGACCAGGTGCCTGTCTACATCGGTGACTCCTGCCCTTGTGCACCCATCACAGGATCAAAGAGATTTAAAGGGCCAGCGTGCGCCCAGCTCAATAGATGTTGGAATAGGCACAGGGCCATTTTACAACGATTAAACTAAAGAGGATTTAAGCAACTGGTCAGTTCTGCTCCTTTCCCTAGTTGCCAGAACAGGAATGATCAGGTGGAACATTCTGCCTGAACTAATTAATGTTTGAAAGCACTGCGATCTGTAAACTGAGTGCTTTTATAATGGTTATTGTTACTGGGCTATTTATTTCTATTCCAGTGTTTACTCTTGCTGATCCCGAGGGAGTTCCTCTTGCTGTATTCGAGATGCTGAAGGAACAGAATAAGCTATTCCGGGACACAGATCACTCTTGTCACATAAACACTATCTAGTGGTATGGGAAGAACGGTCTTGTGGTTCAAGGACCAAACAATATGGGTTCAGCTCCTGGCTCTCCCACAGGCTTCCTGTGTGCTCTTGGACAAGCTGCTTTCTTCCTCTGTGCCTCAGTTTTCTCCTTTATCAAATGAATTTTCCTCTCTCACAGAGTGTTGGATAGAAGAGGCTATGTCAAAATGGAGCTCTTCTCTCTGCTATTCTAGCTGTTAGTAAAGTTTGCAGCAAGCATTGACTAGAAGATCCTATAGCAAAACCGAGCTCTTCTGTCTGCTCTTCTAGCTGTCCAGGAAGGCAAGTATCATTATCTCCATTTTAAATAAGGGGAAACTGAGGCACAGCACAAGGCATGACTTGCCCAAGTTGATACAGCAGTTCAGTGGCAGGGCCGGGGTAGAATGCAGATGTCCGGATTCCCAGTCCAGGCCCCTAGCTACTGGCCCACACTATCGCTGTGAGTACAGAAGTGCAAAAAGTCATTTTCTATGACAGGGATAAAAATCTGGTCTAGCATTATGCAGGGCTAGATTCTGTACTGGTCATCCTTTAAACATCATTAAGAAAACAGGATTTTAATCCCCCTCACCTCCTACTTATCTAGAAACAAGTGGAAAACAAACAATCAGCACTTCATTGTGCAGATCAGCAAATATTTTTGGCACCCTGGATTTTACACCAGGGATTCACATTCAAATATTGAGCAAGATAGGAATCCTTCTTTATCTAAATCAGTGTTTCCAAGGCTCTGACTTGAAATGCTTTGACCAATTAACCCCTAAATATAACCCAGCGAGGTGGGCCTTCTACAAATATCTCCATCTTACATCTTTTTGTAACAGATTGGGTTTCATTATGACTACTCATGATGAGTCAGTTTGGAAACAGACAGCCCAGCATTAGAAAGTGGGGCAGGATCAAGGAGTGAATGGCTGAATTAGATGATGCACTGAACTGGCTGCCAAATCTCTTACAGGACCAATGATCAAGGCTTACATGGGCATAGATCTGGGGTAAAACCAATGACCTCAGTGGAGTTGCTCTGGATTTACAGTGATGTAACTGGGTTCAGAATCTGGTTCACCCTCCAGACAGGAATTCCAGGCCATATCTCATCCCCGTCCATATAAAAACATACTGGGGTATTGCCTATATAGGGAAGTAGAGACTCTCTGAGTTGAAATTCATGGGGCCAGGTTTTCAGTCCCTGTAAATCCACACAAATCCATTGACTTGAACAGAGCTACACTGATCTATGCCAGTTGAGGAGCTGACCCCAAGAAAATAAGAAGAATTTTCTTGTGCCTTTTACTCCAGAGTTTAGCAGAGCAAGTCAGAGCCAAGAGTTGGGGAACAGAACCCACATGCCCTGACTCCCATTGTGCTTTTGTGCTTTCTTTACAAAGACTGTTTGGACTAAAGGGAACGGAAACGGAAGCATAAGCACAGCTACGGCATGCATGCAATAGACAACTTCTGTAGGGCTTGAATTATCCATGACTTTTGACCCTAGATTAAATCTAGCCTGTAACTGTGTTGATAGCTATTGAGTCATATGAGCAGACTAATCACAAGAACCCAATGTTCTCTA